TGATGATCTGCATGATGCTCCCCGGGATGTTCCCGTGATGTTCCCCATGATGATCTGCATGATGTTCCCCGGGATGTTCCCGTGATGTTCCCCATGATGATCTGCATGATGTTCCCCGGGATGTTCCTGTGATGTCTCTTCCTTCTCAGGATTTTGTATGATACATTAATATGTTCACTCAAATATTTGGTTTCATCAGGCCGATACTTCATTAATAATAATGATGCTGTTAAACACCTGAGAGGGAATTCATTCTGGTAGGAAGTAACTGCAACCACAGAGAGCTGGATACACAATAAGCTGTGGATAAGCAGCAAGCTGATAATTTATCATAATTCTGTTCAGTTTCTTTCTATAGCTCCAATTCAGCTCAGGTCAATTTATAGAAACAATTCAACCAGATCATCCAATCAGGTTAAAGTTTCTACTTTTATCTAAGGAAACTCTGAAGAGTATTTTCTAACGTAGAAATACTCTATAGATCAGTGCTTCTATGTTTTTACTCTCTACTGCAGCTGCATGCATGCTCAGTGTGAGGGATTGCTTCAGAGTCAATATCTACTGTCTCGGTCTTGCCATCCTTTAAAGTCAATGACTGGATGCAATCAGCTGGTCTACCTAGGCTGGAAACTTAAAAACTTTAACGTGACTGGTTGATCTGGTTGATCTGGATCTATAAAGTGACCTGAGATCACAGGATGGGAACAGAGGTGAGATGTTACAAGCAAGGGTGCCGTATGGGGGGGTGGGGGTGGGTGTGGGAGGGTGAATTAGGAAGATTCTAAGGGCTGTTGACTGAGAGGGGCCCCAAAAGAAGAAGAAAAGAAATGTCTCGATATGTATTTTAAATATAAAAACAAAATCTAGCAGTAAAATTAATTATCTTTGTGTTCTCCTTTATTTTTCAGCAGTAAACAGTAAAACAAAGCATGAATATATTGACTGGGTAGCCCCAGCAGCCTGTATTAAAATCTGTGTCAATATTAATTAAGTTTAGATAGATTTTTATATTTAGATTAAATTAAAACCATTAAAAGACATCTATAAATTTTGATCATTTTCATGAACATAAAATAATACTTCTCTGCAGGCAAGCTGATGCTGTAGCTCTGTCCTAAACTTCCTACTCAGCCCCAGATATTATCAGCGCCATGCAGCTACAGACATGGAGAGCTGTCAAACACCTGGGCAGCAGGTGGGTCATCTTCTCTAAGCTCTATCCTTTGTCCCTCTGACTGCTGCCTCGGCTCTCTGTGATGAAATGTGCTGAAAGTTGGAAAATATTTCTTCATTTCCTCTGAAACAGTGAGCTCAAGCTGTGACTCAGGAAAGCAAAAACATTTTCTTCCTCATTTTCTCATCCAAGGGTTGAAAATATATATTTCTAGGAAAAACAGAAGTCTGCTGATGCGACAGGTTCTGCTTATACTCTTCAAGCTTAACCTGCTGCATCTGTTTCTTCAGCAGCGGACAAGAGAGAACCAGGACAGCAGAGGGTTCATGCCAGAGCCTGTTTCTGCACATGATGGTCCACATAGCAGCATCCTAAAGCTGCCGTAGTACACAGAATGTTCCTCAGCTGATCTTAACCCAGAGAGCATTGAGCCTGGTGTGCTGTTCTATCACTTTGAGCTTTTAGAGATGAAACCTAACAGAGCCACAATCAACTCATAAAGTATCAGTCGTCTGACTGCAGCTGTATATCTATGGGCTGTTTCATCTGTCTGAGGAGCATCAAACCATCTGATTCCTTCTCACTCAGAAGAACATTGACGTGGAACACCAGATTCATTCCTTAAAAGTTAGATGTTCTGAGGAGGTCAGACATCCACTGGTTTGATCAGAACATTGAAAGTTTGGTTTTGTCCTTAACTACCTCAGATCTTTTTTGCCACATGTATAAAACAAAAAACAGATGTCATTTAAAATCTGGGAAAATAGAAACATGTTGTGGGGTTCCTCAAGGTTCTGTTCTTGGACGACTTTAATGGAACATCTATGGGAGAATTATCTCTTATTTAAAAGCTATTAAAATAGGAAGCTGAAAAACAACAATCAGGAAAATAAAAAAAGGAAATAATAAAGGGCGATTCAAGAATCACCAATGAAAAGTCACTTAATTTATGCTGGAGGCAGAATTAGCATCTGCCCTGACTAGCAACCTTTTTTTTTTCTTCTGACAAGCAACTCTGAGGTGGTAGTTTTCTGTTCACATCACGTCACGTCTGAAAATGCATAGCTTTTAAATTAAAAAGCCATTTTATTTTCTGTAAGGTTTATCACAGGCACACTCAGTAGAGTTAGACAAGCGCATCCTTTCCGAGGCTGTCGTTCTATTGGCTGGAAAGGTTGCTAGGCGACGATCCGATCCAATCTGAGAGAGAGCAAAAAAAATCCGCAAGCAGAGCCTACGGGTTTGCGAGCGTATCTGAGACTCGAGCAGAGCGCGGTTTGTGCACGAAGAGAAGGAGGCAAGCGAGAGGAGAAAATATCTGTGCAAGAAGCATTAAATCTGAGAGAAGAAACAAAGATTTGAGAGAGAAGAGAAAATATTTGAGAGAGAGCGCATGTTTTGAGTGGGAGCATTATAAGTTTTGAGTGCAAGAAGATGAAATTCTTCTCTCAAATTGAAATTATGTGCTCTTGCATTATGGCAGGATAATTCTCCCATAAACATCTAGAGGTGAGAAAACCAAGGCTGTGTTCAAATTTATGGGATGCGTTCTCCGAAGGCCAAATTCGTAGGGTGATCACATCATAGTGTGGCACAGAGGTCTGGTCGGATTCCAAGACTCCTCGTTATGGGGCTTACAAATGCTTCCTTCCTTTTGCCTGATTTGAAGGATGGGTCCGGTGTATCCTATCTGTCCTTGATTATCCCAGGATTCATTGCGAGACCAAGCAAGCTGGCTGCTACCCAATCAGAGGAAATGGTACTTGGCGCCAAACAGTGGTGAATATTGGAAGTTCAGTTTAATATAATACAAGTATGAATAGGTCTGTGAATAGTTCCGCCTGACATGAATGAAAATAGTTATTTTAATGGGTATTGAGTCAGATATGTGGTGGATATGTTTGATTTAGCTAAATGTTGTTATCTGTTACTGTGTGAATTGGTTTGGCTGTAATTTAAGGACAGTTTTTAATGTAATGTTTACAAATGTGATAGGATTTTTATTTTTAATTACTATTTTGCACAATTTGCTTACCTAAGCATTTTTTGTTGTTGAATATAAGAGATTTTGCAGACATTTTTATACATACATTGTTTAGCTTTACGTATATCTTTCTATCTTGTAATAGAATAGAATACAATGGAAAATCAGTTTATTGTCCCACAATGTGAAAATTTACAGCAGCAAAAATATTATTGAAAAAAATGGTCACACAAATGTGGATCTTAGAAAAATTAGTAAGAATAACATAACAGGGAAATGTTAAAAGAAAAACAATAAAATACTGCAGTGTTTTAACAATATAAAACTGTGCACCTGGAGAATAAATAACCAATATACAGCTATGGACATTTTTACAGTAATGGATATTTGAAATTAGCAGCAACATCAGAGATGTGCAAAGTGACAGCAGTAGGTTATTTTACTGACTTTCTATCACTACATTTGCTTTTATTTGTTCATGCTCCCGGTGGTTGGTACCTTAATTCCACTCTGTATTCTCATGAGAGAAGCCTTTGTTCAATTTACAATAAAAACATTTTAAAAAATGTAAAAGAAACAGTTTTGAAAAGTTTGATATTCATTCTTTACCCGCTTTGTGTGTCTACTGTCAGGGTTGCAAAGCAAGAGGGTATAGGTTGAGAAAGCCGCTGGACTTCTTTGAATTCACAGCCAAAACTCTTCCGGTCTCATTTTCATGGACTTCGAAGGATCCAGTCTAGGTAGACCGGGTCCTTAGAAGATGCAGACAATAAATTCTAAAACAGCCCATATCTTTGAGGGATGGTGTCCTGTGACCTTCAGATACATCCCTGGTCCTCTGGTGGACCGTTCTGGGGACACTTAGGAACAGCTAAATGTGAAAGATGTTCTCATACTGGTTTGTATCAGATTAAGACATGCTGCTGCATTTTAAACTCTCTGCAGCCAGGAAGCACTAACCCACATTCAGCATTAGTGATCCAGGCCAATTGAAGATTAGCATCGACTTCAACTCCAAGGATCATAAAGGCCGACTTCCACTGGGCCGAACCGCCTGTGTCCATGGAGTCGCTGAAACCAGGACTTCAGTCTGGATTCAGGAGATGAAATCATGAGATATGAGGTTACCAGAACTGATGAGGTGAGGCAGGTTTAATCTATATTTTTCAGCTCTGGAGCAGATGTTCAGAGACTTTTCGTTCCCTCAGTCAATTTAGCTTAAAGCAGATTTGAATCAAACTAAAATGCGCAAATGTCACTAATCAGCAATTTATGATAGATTACATTTATTGGAGCTGATGAAATATTTGCAGTGGATCCTAGATCTACAACCAGTAGATGGGATTATGATGCTGTGGCTGTGTGTAATCATTATAACCTATAGAGGTTCTGCTGTTGTTCAAAACGTGTTTCACCTAAGATGGTTTGGAGCTCTGTTCATCATGGGTCCTGGTCTGCTGGTTCTGTCCAAACATGGCGGAGTTGGTTTAATCCTCTATTACGAGTCCAGAGGGAAAAAAAAAAAAAAAAAAAAAACAGTCCAGAGGGAGGCAGAGGGTAGTGCGGCCCTCTGATGGTCCACCTCATCATAGCGGCGTTGAGCCGTCGCCTAGCTTGGTGTCCGTTCTTCCAGGTGAGAAGGCAGGTGGCCACATGAGTGGAGGGAACAAACACACAGCCCTGTGGTGTCCCACCAGGCCGTTTACCCATGTCTGCTCCTCGGTCCAGTTGGCCGACATCTAATGTTCTGACTCATCCTGTAACAGTAGGACTGATTCAGCTTTTTTCTTCACTATGTCTTCATATCATTATTCTCCTCATTAGAGGAGGAGGAGAAGAAGGAGGAGGAGGAGGAGGTCAGTTAGTTTTAAGAGGAAGTTTCTCCTTTAGTCAGACTCAGTTTGGCTTCAGTCAGAGAGAGAGAGAGAGAGTAAGATGAGGCTCTATTCACTGCTCCTGGCGCTCGCCCTCACTGGCTGCTCTGCCACAGGTCAGAAAAAACTTTATTTACTTAATACATAGCTGATTATTGCACCTTTAAAACATGTTTGTTGGTCTGATCTAAAATCTAAGCAGTTTTTATATCATATTTGCTAATCAAACCTAAGTTTGTTTGTGAATAAACAAAAATAAAAGGAGAACTGGATCATAACTGGGTCTTTATTCAGATATCAAATAACAGACTGGTTATAAAGAAGGAAATTGGTCCCAGTTTATAACTAGTTAAAAACTGAGTTTTAATAATCAATAAAAGCAAACAGATTCCTGAAATTCTCTAACATGGTTATTAGGATCAGTTAAATAAATTAGGAAACAGATTTAATCCCAAAAAAATCTAGTTTTCTTGATTTTTGATAAAAGCCAGGATGTTAAATCAAAAAACTGTTTACAGAAATGCTGAGTCTGATCCGTCCTTAATTCAAGTAATAAGCTGTTAACTAGCTGTTAACTAGTCCTTAGTTTGATGCTTTTCCTGGAGTATTTTTTTTAAATCGGAATACAATCAGGGAAATAAAAATATTCTGAAGTCAGTTTGTTCGACGTTTAGCTTTTATAAACTATTCTAAACTATATGAAATATTTTTTTCTGGTTTCTAGTTTATTCATTTTGTTCTAATCTCAAAAACCACCCCAGAATCCCAAACAGAACCAAATGATCTGGTAAATATTTCACGGTTTAGAATAAATGGACCCACTCAGAACCAAACTAAGGAGTTTGGTGCTGGTTCCTCCTTACAGGAACTGAAACCTCCTGCTTGTCTTTGGATGGTCAGGCTCTGTTGGGTCAGATGGAGCGGTGTGGATCACCATGCTGCAGCTGTGTGTCTGGGGTTCTGGCTCTGACAGGATGCTCTGATTGTAAAATGTCAGAGCTGAAACAGTCTAAATCACATGACCCAACAGGAACACACACCTGAAACTGGACCCAGTTTTACTTCTGTGTGTTTCGGTTCTGCATGTCTGACTACAGCTTGTTGTTCTGGTCCAATCCTCTGTTGTTGGTTCAGAGAAACTGACCCATCTGCAGAGAATCCAACATGGCTGCCTGGACCTCATGCAGGGGCCCTTGGCTCCTAGCCCCCCTCTTGGCCCCTGAAGCAGAGCTCCATAGACACTAAAAACTGCTGGGTTGAGAACAGCCCAGTTTGGGTAGTTTCCCAACCAAGCGCTTGTTAAATGTCGGAAAGAACACACTTCGGTTGATTTAACCCAACAATTTGGGTTGGTTCCCTTAATAAAACAGTTGGGTTGTTTATATAATCCAACCAAGGGATCACATTGACTACCCTACTGGGTTGGGTTGTTAACATATTATAATTATTTTACAAAAATGTTGATATTATCTTATAAGCCGATTTGATATTTGATATTAATATCACATATTGATATTTATTATTTTCTTGATTAAATATATTCTTACATCAATGATGTCACAATAAAAATGTATTCAAATACATTATTTCCATTAAATTGTATTATAGGTTTACACTCCTTCACTTTAGTTTATCCCTTTAGTTTATCCCTTTAGTTTATCTCTTTAGTTTTGTATGAAAAATAAACTTTATACTACCTCAACAGGAGTGAATCCCTTTAGTCATGTACAACAAAACTATTTAAGTTCTTAATTTTTGGTGGTTTTTTAAGCATATGTCTATTTGATCTTTTTTTTTTACATGAACAAATGGATACATGCCCACTGAGGTAATTTAAAGTCTAGTTTTTACACAAATCTAAAAGGGTAAACTCAAATCTGACGTCTTGCTCATGCGTATTGACAATGGGTATGCCGGTATGACGAGGTATGCTAATCTGACAGAACACCGTCTCATGTTCACTAGCTTTGCCCTAGATCCCAATGAAGGCTTGAGAGCAAAAAAAAATCTATTTGCCAGCAGCAGCATAAATGGGTGCGACCTGGAGGACTCTGCTTTCTCCGAGTCCTCCACCATGTTATTTTGACCTATGGCAAGAAAAAAGACAAACTAAGGTAAAAAGACCAACCAACGCTGCGGGTTCAGTGAAACTGAACTTTGGCAAATTGTTGCCTTGGCAACAATAGTCCACTGAGCTGTTTCTTGAGGAAAAGGATTCTGTTAATTACACTTTTAACAGTTAAAATAAAAAATTACCATAATGGTCACTGACCCATTATTGACTTATTTCAACACTAACCCTACTGAAAAAACTGCAACTAACAGCTAGCTTTCTAGCATACCATTGGAGTGTTTTAGCTAATCAAGCTTTTTTTCAGTAGGGATACTAACTAAATTAGTCAACAATGAATCAACTACTAAGATATTAAAGTATTTTTTCCTTAACTGCTTAAAGTTTTCCCACAGAGTTAACCACAAAAGTTACAGACATTTTGGGAAACTGTTTATATGTTGAATAAACCTTGAGGACAAAGAGTGTGGCCTGTTATGGGAACTACTATTTGCTGAACCAAACATTCCCTTAGAGTAATTCAACAACTCCTCTGGTACACCGTGGCTTTTTAGGTGAGAGAGGACAGAGTGATTTTTTATAAAGTAAAAGCAAAATCAGCACTCATTAATTAATATATGGAAGGGAATTAATAGGAAATGGAATTTTCCAACCACAGGATGTATTTCATCAAGAAAAAAATGTAAAAATTATACTTGTAATATAAGCAAGTAATAGTTATAACATAATTAAATATTTATGACCACTATAATATATATATATATATATATATATATATATATATATATATATATATATATATATATATGTATATGTATATTATAATATGTAAATTAATTATTGTACATTAAATTTACCCAGTGTGTGTTCCATGTAATATCTCTTCAGGTTGCTACAGAAACCATCTGAGCTTGACACTCCTTTCGTACTCTGCTTTCTATTTATTGAGGTTTTATATTCAGATGCTAAAACATCTGATTTGGTTTCCACTGGTGATGGCACCTTTGCTTTGATGGCTGTAACCGTCACATGACCACTTGGATCATCAAAAGCTGTGTTCACATGGACACAAGTAATGGGAATAAATGTAACTAAAATGTAATGTAAACATGGGAGTCAGAACATTCTGATTGGATTCTGCAGGATCTGATCAAGTGATTGAGACAGCTGGTTTATGCTGACTGAAAACCCGATTCATCCGATCCCTTTTTGTTAGGACCTAATTATTCTGAATGAGATAAACTGAGCAGAGACCCAGGTTAACCCCACATCAACATGGGGTATTTCTCATTTGAGTAGCTAGAAGCTACCAGAATATACCGATTCTGTAAACATTACAGCGGTCTATGTCAGGAACCACATCCAGGGACAGAAAGATTGGTGCTGAGGACAGAATCCTGAGGAACACCTGGTGTTGTATTTAGAGGAAAAACTGGGTGTTCCTGTTTGTGCCTCTTCAGACATTCAATATCCACTAAAGATCTACCCTGCAGGGCCTACATAAATTTTTTTTTCATGTGGCAACTGGTTGTGGGCTTCAGTTCTGTCCAGAACAAACCTGTAAGGGGCTGGAGCTCCAGAGGAGAACAGGAGGCTGCTCCTCTTCCTCACTTTGGCTTCATTGATAGACAGGATGAAGATGATGTAGAAAGAATCAACTGGCTCTGGGTCAGAGTTACTGATCTAAGATCTCTAGGTACTGGTTCTGTACAGAATGTTGAGTACCCTCAAGTGAGCATGGATCAATCCTTCCTGAGCTGTTTCCACATTGTCTGCTATAAATACCAGCAGGGAGACCTGCAGGGTGTAAACATGTTGTCGTGGTAACCAGTTCCTCCACCACTCCCGCAGAGTCCCAACCAAAGAAGAAGTAAGAGGAGGAAGTGGGAGAAGGACCCTCACACAGAAACTCAGCGCTCTGAGTGTGTGCGGTCTGTGGTAGAAATGTGTTTCCTGACTCTCTGAGGTTTCATCATGCTAACCCCCCCAACCCGAAACCTCCTAACTGCAGAACTTTCTCCAAAAACAGAAGTGGGAAACACGGACCTGAGGCTACCCAGAGGCACTCCTGACTGATGGATCTGGGCTTGCATCAGCCCAACTAGAAGAACCGACCTGAGGTTCTGCTCATGGTCTTAATGGTTCTGGTTATCCTCATGGTCTCATGTTCAACCCTGGAGCTGTGTTTGCTCATCCCTAGGTTGTTCCTGTAAAACAATCCCACTGAAATCCTAGGGTTCTGGATGCAGATGCTGCAGATGTTGGTACTGATGGCTAAAAGTAAAAAAGTTCTGCCTTAAATTCCATTCTAGGCCTTTATTTGAATGTTCTCCCTGTGCTATGTTGGTTGTTTCCAAGTACTTCAGGGTTTTTCCAGGGTCCAAAAGATCACTGCTAGCTTAACTTGTCTGTTTTGGGTTCATGGTTGTCTGTCCTATGATGGGCTGGACCTGTCCACGCAGCACCGTGCCCAGGTGGCACCAGCCCCTGCCAAGAGAAGCAGCTATGATGGATGGGCATTGTTTGGTGTGTTGATTTGATCTTGTTATCAAATTTTTTTATCTGTGTAAAACTCTTCTACCTGCTGAACCACTGGATGAGAAAGTCTGGACTCCATCCCCCTATGCCCCTCAGGTTCTCCTAAGGCTCCCAGCAAGCTGCAGGAAGGACTGTGCTCCAGGCCGTTACAGGCTGTGGTTTCTCTCTTTTTGGGTTTCTGTCTGTGACGTCGATGCTTCCCCCCCTTCTAAAACATGATTAGAATTGTGGTTCATCTTACTGCAGGTTCCTGTTTCCTCTGGAAGAAACTTGTCTAAATCTAACAACCTGACAACAGATCAGTTAAACTTGGATCCTTCAACAGATGTTCCCAGCTTCCCATCGTCTTTCTTGCCCCTGTGGAGGTGGATCACAATGAGGACCAAACTCTGGAGCAGAGCAGTCTGTTCATTCCTCCATCACCATGACTGCTCTTCTTTAAATCTACTGTAGGTTCTGAATGAGGGGTAGAACAGGTTAGGTGTCCTGCTGTTACATTCTCCTCGAGAAGTTTTTGTCTCTCTTTGTCAGCAGAGAACAAGACCCCATCTTAGAGGTTCTCATTGCTTGTGTTTAACACAACCTATGTGCAGAACTTTTTTCTTGCAGCGTGCCCAAGAACAGCTGTGTGATTAGTGTAGATTTGGATGGGTTGGGGTCTGCTGGAATGAATTAGAAGACCTGCAGCAGATCAGTGGCCTGCTGGTGGAAGCTTTTGGCCTTGACTAGAAGATCAGATGGTCCTACTTAAAGTCGTAGGGTTATATTTAAATGTCAAATCATTCTGGCTTAAAACATGTATATAAATGTACTCTTTATCAGACGATATTGTCCCAAATTTAGAAAATTTATATAAAAAAAAAATCCTGCCTTAAAATCTGTGGGGGTTTTTTTTTTGTTAATCTTATGCAGGCCAGTTGGTTATACATCATCTTGTACACCTAATTTCGCCCAATCATATACAGTCATCTGTCAATCAAATTATTTCGGTCATAGCATCTTGATTCATATGTCGCAGCTAACATACACAATGGTTGAAAAAGGAAAGAAGGATCATTTACTTTACCACTGAGTTCCGTCCCAGTGTTCACAGGGATGGACGTCTGTATCTTCTTCAGGCGTAGAGCTAACAGAACTAGCAGCGTTGCAAGGAAAGGGCTCAAACATGTACGGCTGAAAGCCTTGTACACCAAACCGAGCTTCTGCCACCCTGGCGTCCTCTTCCACAACATCTTCGTCCCCGCTTTCCTCTAAATAAAAAATGTATGACAGAGGAGACTCATCCACAACCTCCGACACAAAACTCTCCTCCTCTTGCATGTTTCCGCTGTCCATAGTGTTCCTTGACAGTGTTGTTGCTAGGTTACCAATTTAGTGCTACTTGGTCCCAATGGAATTTCCCATTGGGAACCTACTAGTACTAAGTTGGTAACTGGTTAGCAAGATGCTTCAAAGAAACCAGCCATAATCAAACTTGCTTACGGACCTTCCGCCACAACAACAACACATTCACCTCCACTCGGGAGAATTCGGAAATGTAACAATTGGAATGGCCGATTTTCTACGACTTTAAAAGTAATTCTGTAACAACAGTCTGCACAAAGGTCTGGACTGAACATTGTGTTCTGCAGGGGACTGGTGAAACAGCTGCTTTAAATATGAACAGAGGGTTCTTTCCATGTTTCAGGTACAGGTCCAGTTGGAGCAGCTTCTGCTAAGAAAATCTGAAACTTCAAAATGAGCCAAACAGGTTCAGATCAAACTCTCAAACTGGGCCCTTAACTGAAGCCCTGACTGGACCTCTGTTGCTACCTGTGCAGGTGATGTTAAATGCTCTGAGACAAACAGCAAAGCAACAGCATCCAGATTCAGCTGTGGTCCAAAAAAGGTTCAACATAATAAACTTTGGCTTTGTTTCAGCAGCAGTGTGGTAACACGCCACCTCTGTGTGTTGTGTGTGTGTGTGAGTGGGGTGTGTGCGGGTGTCGGGGTGTATCTGCGGTTTCACTTCAGCTTTTCTCAGATTGTGAAACACAATGACGGCTCCAACGGCCACATACAGTTCTGCAGCAGATATCCTCATCTGAGGCGTTACTGATCCCAGTAGAAACGACCAGCTGCAGCATTGCAGAACCACCTTCGCTCCAACCTAACAGGAAGACCCCCACAGTGTAATGCACCCGACACAAAAACATGATTCTAGCAGAGCGTTTGCAACAGGACCAACTACTTTTTGAGAACTTGCCTTGGTTTGATTTATCTAGCTGATAAGGCAGTTAGAATGAGAACTCTGATGGTTCTGTCAACAGAAACAGGGAGGATCTAAGCCTGCTGAGAAGTTTCTAACATAACGACCACATCAAGCTGTTTCAGACATAAGGACATAAAAGGTGTCTGATAAGCGATCAGGTTCACTGATCCTGTGATGGTCTTCCTTTGGACCAGAAATCGGTGGACTCTGTGGACCCTCTTTCCCATACCTCAACATTGCAGTTGTAGGTGAACATGATGCATCCACCAGATCTTTTTATTGAAACTTAAAACCCTGAAATATCTTCCCAAGCACATCTTTCTCCCGGGATCAAGCTTCTACTTTATCAGCCATTTCTGTTGTCAACACCAAGTAATTTATCAACAGTCTGTTCTAACTAAAGGCTGCCACAACCTCCACCAGAATAAAGACATTTATTCTCTCTCCAGTAGCCAATCACATCGTTATGTTTGAAGCCCTGTTTTGAGGAGCCTTCCTGCTTGGTTTTAACACGTCTGAGGACAAGGTTTTCCTCTTTTATTTGACAGGATTTAGATGGGCATGTTTAGGTTGGCAAAGTGCAGTTTGAATTTAACACTGTGGTCTTGTTGTTTGACTTTAAGCGTAGTCCCTTTTTCCCTGTTGTAGTGTGCCCTCTATAGATTATACTAGTGGGGGCAGTCCCACCCCTAACCCTAAGACCAGTGTTTTGTAGCCTTCCAAATAGCAGCAGAACACACTGTGAACTCTTATTTCTGTCGGCTTCTTCACTTTAAGCTCCCTGCCTGCTGTGCTTGGCTCACACTTTGTGCCCCCATACCACAACAATCCTAGTGTGTGTAACCAGGAGGCAAATGTCTCTGAGGCAGTCTCAGCAAACTCACCTGTACAGGCCAGAGATGAAGTAGGACTCTGTAAAGGTTTCACTCCAGTCGTCGTCTCCACTGCAGGTGATCCCCATGACCGCCAACCTGCTGCCATGACGATGGGTGCCACCCAGTCTGCTGATCAGGGTCAACCAGGGATTGACTCTGCTTCTCCAAGGATTTCAGACCTAGTTCAAAACCAGGAACAAGAAGACATTTGGAGAACAAAGGTTTTGAATCTACTGACCCGGATGGTTGAGCTCCAGGAGGACATGGCCAATCATCAGACGAAGGTGGTCCAACAAATTGGACTTCTGGTAACTCAGGTGAGTCAAGTTCAATCCAGGAGAGTAAATTTTACTCAATTTTAGACCAGTTCATCCCAGATTCATCCAGTTTAGCTGGTTAGGGCTGAAAAGTTCAACTAGGCCCATTTAAGCTTAGTCCAGTTCGAAGAAATTTGGTCTAATTTAGAAGTTTAGGCAAAGTCTTTCAATTTCAGCCTGGTTTAGTACAGTTAATAAGATATCTGTGTAGGTCCTGCAAATTCTTTCGTACTATCGCACCAGATGAAGGACGTCTCTTCCAATGTGGGTGGTAACATATCTGTGAAGAACTGAGGAAGCCTCTTAAATGAGAGGCGAAAGACCTTTGAGAAGACTTCTCACCCAGTTGCCTAAAATTAACTTTTTAAGCTAAAAAAACAAGACACCTAGTTAGATTTAGTTCAAGCATACCCAAAGTCAGTTCTTGAGAGCCGCTGTCTAAACAAGTTTTAGAGGTTGTCCTGCTTCGGCACAGCTGATTTTGATGACTGCAGTTCAGCGAAACCTGTTAATCAGCAATAAATGAAAATTAGCTGTCCTGAAGACGGGTAACTTCTAAAATCTGCAGGACAGCTGCCCTCGAGGACCGACTTTGGGCATGCCTACATTAGTTAGTCTTTCCTACATATTGAGTGTATTTAGTCATTGGTTCTAATTGAGTTTAGATAATTTTGGATCAGTTCAGTAACCCTCACAAGAACACTGATTGCCAGACAGATGAAGTAAAACCTGATTAGTCCAAATCGAACAGGTACTACTAATCTACTAATCTTTTCATGATTTTTTCTGATCCAGTTTGAACTCACGTGAATGTTATTTTATGTCTTCAGGGCTCACAGCAGATCCAGGACCTCCAGAACATTGCTCGGCACCAGGGTCTGATTGTTGAAAACCACCAGGCTTTACTGCTGCAGACATCACGTATTGCCACCCAGCTGCAGGACAATAACAAGAAACCTGCTGTTGTCAGCCACTGAGATGTTCTGACATTCAGCACATGCAGTCAATCATTCTATTTGAAATGGGATTTTCCCAGTTAAATCAGTGTGTTCTTAACCTGTGATAACCTCTCTCTGTTTAATCATTTAATGGGTTCATGTCAGTTTAAACTGTTTACTCAGACTAGACTGAAACTAATCAGTGACAAGTTCATGTTCTGTATCCATCTTTATTCTGTCCCTATGATTTTCAATAAAATTGTCAAACTTTTGCTGTGATTTTTTTGTGATGTTCCCGATAAACTTATATACACTTTTGTCTGGAGTTGGTCTATAGGCATCTTTCAGGCTCAGTGATGATCAGATGTCCACTCCATACCTGTTCAAGTCAGCGTTGGTTTAATTTAATTTATCATGTCTGTTTCAGAATCTCCCAGGCCCACAGCGATCCACTTAAACTCAGCTATCCAACCAAACCAGACAGAAGTGGTTCTGAATGCTGGCTCTAAGATTAAACTTAGTTGTCATGGTGACGCGTTAGTGTACATGTCTACCAATGCATTTAGTAAGTTGTCATCAGAGAAGGACATAAAAGCTGATCCAAGACACACTGGCACATACAATTGTGGGTATGCCAACCAAAGCCTGAGCCACCTGGACACCTGGATACACTTGTATGTCAAAGGTAAGCAGGATCTAAACCCTTAGATATCATGGAGGAACCACTTGGCTCTAACTGCCCTACCTGTTGACCTCAATATCAATTTAAAATCACCCCCAGTTTCCCACAATGCCTCTCTGTCAAATCTAGGTGGCACCTCTACTATCTTTGTCACCCCTCGAAAGACTCCTACCACTCTGAAAGAGGATGATGACTTCCTGTTCAAATGTCTTCTGACTGACCCTTCTGTCACAAACCTCACTTTCCAACCAGAAGACAGGAGGAGGGCTCTGCCCCCAGGTATGAACGTCACCATAGACCCTCGGAGAGGAGCTTTGATCAAACACCTGAGGATGTCCTTCAAGGGCCAGTATGCCTGTTCAGGTTGGAGGGATGGAATAGAGTTCAGATCCAAAACACTTCACCTGCTGGTTGCTCCCAGTAAGTCAACCGTCTGTCTGTCTGTCTGTCTGTCTGTCTGTCTGTCTGTCTGTCTGTCTGTCAGTCTGCCTAGCCGGCTGTCTGGGTGGTTGACCGGCTAAACCAGGGGTCTCCAAGTCCAGCCCTCAAGAGCTACTGTCCTACAGCTTTCAGGTGCATTCCACTTAGAAATATTTGAATTAATATACTGCTTCTTACCAGACCATTTTGCCATACTTTATGGCATTCTCAACACGTTAACTCTAAAGTTTGAGTGTTGCCACAGGGTTGCATGTAAAGGTTGCAGGATGGGGACTGGAGTCAGAGACCTTTGGAACAGTTGTTGGTTGATGGTCCGCCTGTCTCTCTAACTCAATCTCTACCCGTCTGATACTTGTCTCATCATAGTCCACCTGTCCTACTTGTCAATATCTCTGTCTGACATTCTATGTTTTTCTACAGCTGTCTCTCAAGCTGTCACTTATGTTGTCAATCAGTCTCTGTAATTGTACCTCTGTCTGTCAAACAGTCTACCTGTCTCTTTACTTGTGTAATGGTGCCCCTGTGCCTCACTCTCTGCCTGTTTGTGTCAGGGCTGCGTCATCCCCCCTCCCTGTTTGTTGGCCAACTTGAAGCTGCCCGTCTAGAAGGAGAGCTTTTTGCAGTCACCTGTCAGACTTGGAACCCTTCGCACTTCTACAATGTCAGCTGGAAACATCCACGCATACAGGTGAACAGTCAGAGGTCACCTGTGACTCTGTGCCCCTAAATATTCCATGAATAAAAAAGGGGTGTCTCTGCAGTCCCCATTGAGAGTTTCTTGGTTATGGAAGGAGTTTATTTAAGGTATTATTGGTTTAAGTTTAATAAATACAAATATTCTAATGGTATTTATTGTGGACTTAAAACTCTTCAGATGGTTTCGTTTCAAAACAAGACATTTAGAGCTCCTGATGATGCCTAAAATGGCTGCAAGGATGGCCACAGGCAGGCATAGGTGGAATCAGCATCAAGTCCCACATCAAAAGGCTAGTTTATGTGCTAGTCAGTGGTGGAGGCTCTTTAAAGAGAAGTGTGTGCAGTACTTGCACGAGCCTGGTGTAGCAATTTCCTGCCCCACTCACAAAGATGCACCACAGAGCTAATACCACAAAGCTTAATGATTGGGAAGTCATGGGAGTGGACATTGGGCTCATACTTTCAACGTAGTTGTATAGATACTGGCTGTGTCTGAACATTCGCCCTAACCCCTAAATTCCGCAATCACTATGTAGAGTGTGGAATATATAATAAACTTTATAGTGAACTCATTTAACTGACCGTCTTGACAGGTCATCACTACTTTTCACTCCCCATTGGTTACATAAGTCCACCTTCCCACGTGCTGCCTGCACCATCTTTGTTAGTAGTCGCCACTACAACAAATCCCTTGATGCTTTTCAAGGAGAGCTCTCACATTGCAATCCGAGATATATCTGCTCGTTTAATGACCATTAATGATCACTAATTTTCAAGGTACATTGTGGGAAATTTCAAGTTCACTACTTTTTCATCCACTTGATGTTTGGTCACTCACCTAAAATGGCCTAACCACTATATAGTACCCTATATCGTGATTAGAACGGTTGTTCGGAGACAGCCCCAGTGTGACAGTAGTAAAAAATAGCAGGATAGCTAACTGTTGGTCAGGTGAGCAGGGGCATCCAGTCAGCTATTGTTCTTCAAAGGGTGCAGAGTAGCTTCATGAAATCATATTACCTCAAGAATATGGTCTGACATTGTAACAGTCGTATACACTGCGTACACTAAGGCCAAACAAAGGTGGCATGTATCACAAAAACCCCTAACACAAAAGTCCCACAATCTATCACAGCTCACACAAACTCCTCCCACACCCAAGAAGCTCCCACTTTGGCACTGCAGATAGTCCTATGTCCATCTGCCTGACTCTAAGTTCTTATTTGACTTTCTTAGAACCTGAATTTCAGCGAAAGCAGGAAGTATGACAAAGGCTACCTATACATCAACAGCACTCTAACCATCTCCGCTGTCAGCCAGTCACACAGTGGACTGTACACCTGTACCGCTGTTAATGTAGCAGGGGTTGCCAAAGCCTCCACTCACCTGACTGTGTTGGGTAAGTAATCAATACCAACCAGAATATATCAGATTAGTGTCTTTATGAAAGTTAAATAAGTATCCAATAAATGGTGAGGTTTACCATTTTTCTTCTTCCACTTCATCAGAGGACCCCTACCTAAGACTTTACATGAGGCATACGACTTTTGATACCCTAAAGGTCTCTGGGGACCAATTTGGAAACTTCAGCACAAGACTGGAGAGGACAACTGAAAAACCAGCTGACAACAGAATAACTTCAGATAATCAGCTGGGAAACCTGGTTTTTAATGTGACTGGTATCAGCGACAGCAGCGCTAACATCAGTGGCTGCAGGACAGTGGAGGTGTATGAGGGGGAAGACTTGACCCTCACCTTAATTATAGAGGCCTATCCTCCCATCGGACAACATCATTGGACGACACCAGAACACATAATCAACGACGGCAGCAGCATATATGAGACGAGCTACGTTACTAAAGGCTACAGGTGGATTCTATTACCTAATGTGTGCTAATGAGCTAATGAGCTACTCAGGTTGAAATGGCTGAACCAGTCATTGTAACTTAATAAGCCTTTAGACCGACTTAAAGGTTATAACACCAACCCAAAGAACAGCCCCCATAACAGTAAAGACAGTTAAAGGGAAACACCATTTTTTTTACATTTGGCCCTTGATTTTATGTTATTACATCATGTTCTACTCACCCATATGAGTTTTGTGTCATTTGGAGCTGTTCCGAAGATATTCCGTTAGGTTATATCCAAGTAACGTCTTCCTATGGGCAAACAACTTGAAGGCCCAAACTAAACTGTTCATTATTTATTCTTTATGGTACGTCAGCATTCATAACATGTAGGTGATTCACTGTCCCCCAGACATCCGCGGTTATATTTTTTATAGTTATATCTTTTAAAAGCAAAGCAGCGCGTGTATGATGTCATCCATGCGCCGGACTGGAGTTGTGACAGGCAGCCCGGGCTACAGGCGGCTACGCTCTACCCCTTCTATTCGTTTGGCTAGTTAATCTGAACCGTTCAATTCCATTTCGAGAGCGAGATCATCTGTGGTAGTAGCACTAGACATCTTCCAGGCATGTGAGTAAAACTAGCAGCAGTTCAGCAGACAGGAAGAATGAACGGTAGCCGGCGCGCGCGGATGGACGTCATACACACGCTGCTTCGTTTTTAAAAGATATAAATATAAAAAATATAACGAAAAAATATAACATAATATCTTCAGAACAGCTCCAAATGACACAAAACTCATTTGGGTGAGTAGAACATGATGTAATAACGTAAAATCAAGGGCCCAATGTAAAAAAAACTGTGTTTCCCTTTAAAGGTGGCATTGGTCATGTTGTCTTGAAGGCTATTTAAGGTGGTATGAAAAAAAGTCTGCTGTTCTGTAATGTGTGTTAAGTGGGTATTGTTGTTTGAATAGGGCCGAGGCGAACCTTCTGCTGCGACGGGTACGTCAGGAGGATGAAGGTCCATATTGTTTTCATTTTTCGAACTTCTTCTTTAACGGGTCCCAGAATGTGGAGCTGCGGATCTACCGTAAGAACCCGTTCTACCTTCTTGCTGTCCGATTGTTCATCCTTGTTGGTGAACCTTACATGTGGTTTGAACTCTCCAGGTTCTCCGACTGTTAGCATCACTCTGCAGAATGACTCCCTGATATGCAGCAGCTCTGGTTACCCACGCCCCACAGTCGTCTGGTTGATCTGCACTGACAGAGACAGGTGTGTAAGCGGGAAAAGGGTTTAATGCATGTTATGTCCACAAGGGGAGCTACAGTCAGTGGCATAGTCAGGGGCAGGATGTTCATTCATAAACAGCTGCAGCCAGACCTAAAATCAAATAAAAAGATGATGCTCTCTCCTGCAGGTGTGACGACAGCTCAAGCTTTCAGGTGTTTCCATCTTCCATTGCCTCACAGGAAGGGGAGGAGGTGAAGATACTCTTCCCACTGTCGGATCACGATGATATCACAGTCATGTGTAAGGCGCACAACCTGGTGGGCAAGTCTCATCAAGTTCATCGTAAGTATCAGAGGAACACAGAGAGAATTTAACTGAAATGATCCAGGTCTGGTTCTCCTGTTGTCAGTCGGACCAGAGTTTAGGAGGAAGTTAAATTTAAACAAATTTCAGCCAAAGTTCAAAGTTTGCGCTGCTTTCAGGTTCTACTGGACTTCACCCCATGGTTACTCCTGCTACCATTGGAGCACTGAGTGTCTCCTTCATCCTCCTCCTGCTCCTATTAGTTGTGCTTTACAAATGCAGACAGGTGAGTTTGGCTCAGACAGGTGAGGACCGGTCTCAGTGCCCTTTGGGTGGACGTAGTCTGCAAAGAAATAGGAACCAGAGACGCCCATTTACCATCTTTTCTTCTTCAAACAGAAACCAAAGTATGAAATCCTGTGGAAAATTATCGAGAGTAACGATGGGAACAACTACACCTTTGTTGACCCCACCCAGCTGCCGTACAACCAGAAGTGGGAGTTTCCTCGAGAAAAACTGCGACTCGGTAGGATTCCTTAGCACACCTGAAACCTCTATGATCTACAACATGGGTCTCCCACCCCAGTTCTCCAGATCTGCTGTTCTGCAGATTTTAGATGCAGCTGAAGTAATGAATTGCTAGTTAGCGAGCCTTTATCAGACCTGATGGCATGCTGACTTTCACTCAGGAGAGTTTTGCTGACCAGTCAAGCAAAGGGATAGCCACTTGACTAGGGTCCCAAGGCGCATGATCAGTCAGAGTGACTGGATCCCTTGGAGAATCATGGTCTATAGACACCACACTGTTACCTCCAACTGCAGTTGGATTAACTCCTACTTGAATTTTTGCCTCTCAGGCGCCGTTCTGGGCTCGGGGGCTTTTGGAAAGGTTGTCGAAGCTACAGCATATGGTCTGGGAGCAGAAAACAAAGCCACAAGAGTTGCTGTGAAGATGCTGAAACGTGAGTCACTGACCTTCATCCTTATCAGTGTCAGTTGGTAAACAATCTAAAGCCCTGTTTTTTTACCTGCAGCAAGTGCCCACTCGGAGGAACGGGAAGCTCTGATGTCAGAGCTGAAGATCCTCAGCCATCTTGGGTACCATGACAACATCGTTAACCTGCTGGGAGCGTGCACACAAGGAGGTGAAGAGGATTTTATTGAACAATGTGTTACATGGAACCTTGATGAGATATGAGGATTTGTTAAGGGAGCTTTTTTCATGACAATAGCAGGAATCAGTCAATCTGCAGCCTAAAATGGTAAAAGAGGAGATTTTCTTCTCCACTTTCGCTGCATACATCCTTTGCTGTCAAGTCAGAGACTGGATGAATTTAGCTGGTTTTCCTTACATAGAAAACTTTTAACCAATCTGTCTGCATTGTCCCTGTAAATCGCCTTGAGATGACATGTATTGTGAACTGGTGCAATAGAAATAAACAGAATTGAATTGAAACCAAATAAAACTAGTCTTGAACCAGTAAGACCAGGGGGAGGCAGTATGAGTGGAGAGATCAGAAATTGGACGTTTGTGTCCAGTGCTTGCACATAAAGGGAAAGGTAGCTGCCTCACGTAAATATTCTCTAATGGTTCATTTTTACAGGTCAGGGAGGGGCTGCTGCTCAGACAGCAGAACTTAAGAGATTTAAATAGAAATGCAGGAATTGTGAATTGTGAAATACCACAATGTGCCTGATTTGGATGAAGGCATACCATTAGAACATAGTTGCAGACCCTTTAAACTAGCAGGCATCAGTCAGATAGCTTCTGAATGCAACCTAAAATCCTACAACCAGCAGCTTCTCTCTAAGGCATTTTTATTGCCTTCATTAAACATTACCTGTCAAATGATCCAAAAGACAAAGAAAAGTTTCTAATTATAGTAGAATGTTCTTTTCATATGTAAACTAATGCATCTTCAATGTATTTCTGCACCTTTCACCCTGGCAGGTCCCATGCTAATGATCACAGAGTACTGTAGCCATGGAGACTTACTCAACTTCCTGCGAGCCCACGCTCAGAACTTTATGGCTTCCATGATAACCATAGATGAGGTTGGAGAAGAGGTGTTCTATAAAAACATGACAGCACCGCAAGAGAAGCTGCGCAGGTCAGAGGACCTCTGCTCTTTCTCTGTTCCACCTTATTACCATTTAGGGAGGAAACACAAATAAATCAATGAAAGACTAGAGTCTGTACCTCAAAACAGCCAAGATGTTGATTGCATTGATAGTTTATAATCATTTCATCCTTTCATTGAAGGTTTTAGTTCATTTTAGTTGTATAGTAAAGTTCATGTGAATCCTGACATCTTGTCATGTGATCTCCAGTGACAGTGGGATATCATGCTGGTCAGAGTACCAGGAGATGCAGCCAGCCCTGAGTCCAGGTCCACATGACCACAGTAAGGCTGTGTCCATCTGAATGCATTTGGTTCTACCTGCACCTTTACCTGAGCTCACCTGGATTCTGTCTCTGTCAGGTGAACACATGCTGAGTCTGTCTATCTGTGACCTGATGAGGTTTTCCTACCATGTGGCTCAGGGACTTGACTTCCTGTCCTCCAGAAATGTAAGAACAGATTCAGACACAGTAAACCATTCAAACTAAGCCTTTGTAGTCATGTCCAGTGTTTAAATTCCAACCAGACCTGGTTCCTTCCAGAGTCCTGGGCCAGGTTTAGAACAACGATGGTTCTGAGCTGTCTACCTCTCACCTTTTGGTCATTCAGTGTATCCACAGAGATGTAGCAGCGAGAAACGTCCTGCTGACCGATGGTCATATTGCAAAAATATGCGACTTTGGATTGGCTCGCGACATTCGAAACGATGACAGCTACGTTGTTCAGGGAAACGTCAGTAATTCACCCACAGATTCCCAGCAGAACCTGATTTTCTCTTGAGTTCATGCTAAAAGCAAATTCATTTGGAAATTCTTGGTCTTATTTTGACAGGCCCGGCTGCCGGTAAAGTGGATGGCTCCAGAGAGCATCTTTGAGTGTCTCTACACAGTGCAGAGTGACGTCTGGTCCTATGGAGTCCTGCTCTGGGAGATCTTCTCTCTGGGTAACCATGGGAACAGTAAAGCTAATTTATAAATAGTAAAACATGTGAGTCTGTTTCTGAATGCCTCTGTTCATCCACTCAGGTAAGAGCCCATACCCCAATGTTGTTGTGGATGCCAACTTCTACAAGAGGATCAAAGATGGCCACCACATGAAGCAACCAGAGTTTGCTCCCAATGAAATGTGAGCACAAACATCTTTATGGGAAATGTTTGGGATTATTTGTAGGCAGATACTCAACTGTGTTTTTGGGGGGTATTATCTACTTCTAATGACAAATTCTTCAACAAATGTTTTATCCATTCTTATGACCTCAAACATCCCTGTCCCGTTACTGTCCTTAACATGACCTTAATATCCCAAGACCAAAGGAAAAGCATGCTGTCTATAGTTCTACCAATTGGAAGCATGTATATAGTAAAGAGAATTGGCCCTAGCACTGATCCCTATGGTACATAACAGGTAACCCTATAGCATGAGGAAGATTTATCATTAACATGAACAAACTTAAATCTGTCAGATTAATAATATTTAAACCAGCCTAGGACTGTTGCCTTAATTCGTAGAAATTATTCAAGTCTTTCTAAAAGCCCTGAATATTGAAAACCTTAAATAAAAAAGCAGAGATGGTTCTGGGTTTGATTTCCGGCCCGGGGTCTTTCTGCATGGAGTTTGCATGTTCACCCCGTGCATGTGTGGGTTCTGTCCGGGTATTCCAGCTTCTTCCCACAGTCCAAAAACATGACTGTTAGGTTAACTGGCTTCTCTAAATTCTCCTTAGGCATGAGTGTGTGTGCATGGTTGTATGTCTTTCTGTATCTCAGTGTTGCCCTTCGACAGACTGGCAACCTATCAAGGGTGTACCCCTCCTCCCGCCCATAAAATGCCACAGATAGGCACCTGTCCCACCATGACACTGATAGAACAATTCAGGATGGATGTATCAAATGAAACAATCAAATCTAACATGACAAATACAGATACAAGTCAATGATCTGAGGCCATAATAATATCATTAGTTAATTTACCCAGAGCTGTTTCGGCGCTATGGTGAGCTCTAAAACCAGATTGAAAAACTTCAAGAAGTTCATTATAGTGTAAGTGGTCACACACTTGTTTGACAACTACTTTCTCAAGAGCTTCCAATAACAGACGTGATGCCAGCGAGCACAATTAGTAGATTCAGGGTGTTAATGTGAGTGATGTGATTTAGTTGGAGTGCTGGAAGCTGATCATGGAGAGGTTTTGGCTCAATGTTGGAGGGTGGACAAGTGTTTCTAGAGGGTGAGACAAAGAAGAGCTTAGCTTGGGGTCTGCTACTTATGGAGCTTCTAATTCAAGAGTAACTTTACCCAGAGAGGGAGGGAGTGATCCATGGGATTTCAGGAGAATCAGCAGGGGGTTCCTCACAGGAGATCACAGGGAGGCATGTTAGCATACAGTAAGTAAGTGTCATGTTTTGAAAAGGAGTAGTCGTTGCTCCTCCACGTCAAAAAGAGCCAGCTGAGGTGGCTCGGGCATCTGTTTCGGATGCCTCCTGGTCGCCTCCCTCGGGAGGTGTTGCAGGCATTGCCCATTGGGAGGAGGCCTCGTGGAAGGCCCAGGACACACTGGAGGGACTATGTCTCGGAGCTGGTCTGGTGTCACCTCGGGGTCCTCCCAAGAGCAGCTGGAGAAAGTGTGTGTGGGGATCGGGAAGTTTGGGCATCTTTGCTTAGAATGCTGCCTCCGCGATCCAACCCTGGATAAGCGGAAGACAATGGATGGATGGATGGATGGATTTTCAAGTTCACTAAGCTTAAGTTATAACAGAGGATAATGTTCATTCTTTGAAAGGCTGGCAGCCAGCTCCTCTTATTCTGCTGCTGATGGATTGATAAGGAACAGGTATACAGAGGCTCCAGCTTGGATTTTTTTCTCTGCGACCTCCAGTGGTCACCAACTGCTAAGACAAAGAAGGAAAAACAGAAATCAACCAAATTTGTAACTTCACTGCAAATGGCTCAAATCTTAGCACAATGCTGAAGAAGACAACATCATCCAGAACTATTAGCATCTTATTAACTTCATGCTACTTGACTGTGAGCAATATTTTAACCTTCATAGTCCATCATAACCATTTGTTCATTTCTCTGACGGACGCCTTTATTTCCCACACTGCCATGTCATCACCAGACAAGTTTACCTTTAAAACAGCAAACCTAGAACTGATGGGAACCATGTGCCGTTTCTTGTCCCTCCTGTCAGTGAGGCAGAGAAAGCACATGGTATGGATCCTTGTCTCTGGCTACTGTGATCTGTGTTTTGCTGCCAGCTTTCACGTATAGAGCCGTGGGATTGAGCCATAGACCCAGCCAACCTCACAGAGTTTTACAACAATCCATCATTTGTTCTTTATCCTCGGTGGGACTCATGCTGATGCTCACACCTTCATATGTTTGGGTTTTAGAAAATAGAGCTTCAGAGGGTTACTACATTTGGAAAACTTTGCTTTAGTTAGTTTAGCTTTGCTTAGTTCTGTGGGATAAAAAATTTTAAGATATGTCTGTGTTTAGCCTCACAGGCTCCAAACGAAGGTCATGAGAGATAAGAATGAGTTCCTGCACCCTCTTTCATGGCATGAAGGGGAGGACTACTGCTCTGAGGAGATCGATCTTGCCAGTGAAAGATATATCAACCTAACAGGGAAGGGCCTTGATGAACTCAAGTTGTTTTTCCTTCAAATATTCCTGTGTGAGAAAGTTCTTTATGTAGGGGTGGGATAGTTCCAAGGGAGAGTGTGTGTATTAGGAGGTGTTGTATAAATGTATGTACTGAGCTTGCCCTTAGTCAGACCTCTATCTCTCCATCTTAAGATGTTAAATCTATTTGAACATTCTCTTGAAGAGTCTCAGTTTCTCCTTAACTTCACAGTTCTTTTCCAAAAAGCTGAAGTACTAACTTGACCAGCATTATTTATTTGTGTTGCTTCTTCACTATAGGAACAGGCGCTATAGGAAAAGGAACTATAGGAACATTAACTAAAGGAACAGGAGCTAGCTGCTACAATGTGAGGTGCTCAGATTGAGTCATTCTCTCAGTCATGTTTCAAAGCATCCCTGTCTCATACCATGCTTTGAATGCAAACTGGCTCAGGCTCGGTAAAACCTTGAAGACTTCTTAGTGGTTGGAACCATGTGTAGCTCATTAATTGAGGCTACCTAATACTAAGTCCAGCCAAGGCTGTTTTTTAAGGTTCTGGCTCTACGCAGAAGATTTGAAAAGTCGTCACTGATATCATTGAAGCATGCACTTGTCCTCTCAGGTATCACCTGATGAAGCTCTGCTGGAGTTTGGAGCCCACCCACAGACCGACCTTTAAAACCATTGGTCAGCTCATCAATAGGCTCCTCCCCTTGACCGGTGACACATTACCATATCAGAGTGACGAGGTGAATAAACTGGGATCTGTTTGAGCCCTCGATATCGTCCAGCAGGTATATTCACCAATGTTACCTCTTCCTCTCTCCTCAGGTGACCTATAAAAACATTGATGAAAGGGGACAAGAACAGGAGGTCCAAGGTAGAACATTGAAGAGAAAAGAAGAAGAGCAAAGTAAGATTTAATAGAGTTTTTTATATGCCTTAGAAAAGTGTTGTGGTTTCACTCCCTGCTCCTGCCAATAGGTCACCATGACGACTGTGAAACTGTAGGGGAGAGGGAACCGACACTGAAGAACATCTACCAGCTGTCCTGATCATTTCATCTGATTACCTAAAGCCCAATGGGATATCAGTGAACTCACATTGATAAATTAATATCAGTGTCAATTTATTATAGCGCCAATGTGCTTTAAAGTCAGTCAAAGCACAGAAAAGCTATAATGCATAGAAGAAATTATCTGTTCCAACAAGATCCCAGACTCTGCTGCATCTAAAAGCCAAAGAAAGGAACGGATTTAGAACTTAGAGAAGTGTCCCTTTTCAGAGGCTATACCTTCAGGTTGATGCCATCAGATTCAACAGGCTGGTTGAATCTCTGAGTTATTGGAAAGAATGGCTGGCTGACATATTGGTCTAGAAAAACCGGCTTGGTAACAAGTTGATTTTAAGTGACTGAATTTTCAAAAACAGCTAAACTACAGCCTTAAGACACACTGAACAAAAAAGGTCTTCAGAGACCAGAGGCAGTGATGGCCTCTTCAGATGATCTTGAAGAAATAAATTTTCACCAGCATGAAGGAAATTATCTCCAGCAGCAAAGCTCCTCCTGAAGCTTCATTTCCAGTAGAACATGTCATAAACCTGCTTGTTGCTTTTAATCCACTGCTTTTAAAGTGTTTTTTATTAGTGTTGGGCCTTTATCGGCATTAATGCAGTGCGTTAACGCCAGACTCTTATCGGTCGATAAAAAAAATTATCGGCGTTAATCTATTCTCATAGCCGGGTTGGGTGCTGGGTTTATACCAATGAGGACTTTCACCTTGTTAGTTATCGAGGATGTATATCTGGGGGCGAGAATAAATCAGTCTTCCAACCTGTGTAGGCGTACTGTTAAATCAGCTATAAAGATGCCAGTGTTGTGCTGAGAAATACCTGCCTGTCAAGAAATACCTCCCCTCTCATATAGTGACGAGAAAAAGGATTGAAATATGAATGAAAAGGGAACTTTTTAACATATCTAGATTAATCTAGATTAATTCCAAGAATACAGTGAGATTAATCTATATGAAAAAAATAATCTATGCCTACCAGTATTTTTTATACATATGTTTTTCTGATGTTTTGAGTCTGAAGATCTTATTTGTCCTTTTTTTTTATCCATTTTTCACTGAAGCTTTCTAAGAATTAAATTGTGTACTCTTATCTTGGTGATTAAACTATTTCCTTTTTTGTACATGTCAGATTCTTGGTATTGAATATTAAGCTGAAGCATTTCTCTTCTTGATGTGATAAAAGAGTTTGTGATGATAGAATCATATTGTGTCATAAACTGAACAGGAAATGACCTTCATAGTCTTGGTCTCTCTGTTCCACCTTTAGTAAGTTCTCGGATGTTCTCTTGTTCTTCTCACCACAGATGGAATCTGATCTTTCCTTGAATAAATTAAGCTGAAAAAACTTTGATGTTTCTGGTGTTTTATTTAATTGCTTTGGTTTGTTTTACCAAATTCTTCCAAAATGTTCTCATTTTGGGGGAAATGTCCTCTGGCCTCTATCTAACCTGACCAACTGAACCTGTAAGTCATTCTGGGGGAGAATATCCTCATTAAGGCTTTAACTTCACTAGGAGCCATTTGTTAAAATAATGCACCCGCTTTTGGCATTTACTTAATCGTATTTAGTTACTTTAACACAATAGCTTTATGCCCTACCCTGCTTACATGAAACAATTGTGTTAAAGTAACTAAATATGATTAAGTAAATGCCAAAAATGGTTGCATTATTTTTTATTCAGACGACTGTGCCCTTTATCTATCGTAACCAAGGGTCTTGTTAAAAAGTCCTTCAATACCAGAACCTTGTGGCCTTCTGTTATCATGGATTTTATTATGTGGAGTCCAACCATGAACAAAAGCAGAAATTGCTGCATCTGACAGCTGATAAGGTCAAACCAGGGGTGTCCCACAATGTTTCCTGGATGAAAGCTGCAGATCCTCTCAGGTCCAGCAGGTGTACGGTTTAAATTCTTAATGACTCGGTACTGAGATAAACCTGTGAGCAGCCAGGGTATTGCTGGCTGAACATTTCTATAATCCTTTTCCATCAGTCCTCAGGTCCACCTCTGCTCCAATAGATACATGTGAGCTGGTTTTAGTGCTGCAGGTTTGGATCTTAAACTAACACCTGAGTCTCTGCAGCCTGTTTAGGTTCTGCTTCACTTCCTTTCATCATGCTCTCTTCCTGGCTGTGTTTTATTCACCATGTTTCCTGGTTATCATCTCTTTCTGATAAAAGCACCATGCTCTTATGATGAGATGGAGGTCTCCACAGGTGAACCCTCTCAGTGAGTCTGTGTAAAAAGGTAACGATCAATGAGGCCATAATTAGAAACAACAAAAATCAACAGAAGGCTTTATCACACTTTTATTCCCCAGTAATCAACTTGTGGCTCCACAGGTGAGTTTCCCACTGCAGGTGCCAGGTGGGAGCAGCGGGTGGAGCCTGATTACCTGATTGCTTTACAGCGGCTGGACTTTAGATTGAGATAAACAACAAACAGCAGCTCACGTCAGCTGAGAGAGAGAACTTCATCTCATGCAGCGGTTAGAAGGCCAGACTACACACAGGGGTCTAAAGATCCTTAAATATTATGTTAAAACCAACACACTAAGACACCTGATGTCTGTCATTTCTGTGGTCCCAAATGTTGCTTCAGAAATGGAACCAGACAGGCCGAGTTGATCTGGAGCCCCTTACTGATCCGCTATCTGCAGCATTGATTTTTTAATGAGTCAGAGATCAATAGGAGGTTGATAAAAGAACAGATCCTGGGTCAGGAGACCCACTTCAGAGCTGCTTTCCATCGTCTCCACAGATCTGACATCTTCAGCAGGTAACGACATTCCAATGGTTTTGGTTCTGCTGTTAATCCGTCAGATCAGGCATTTAATTCTCGCTAACTAATAGATAATTACACAGTCGTTAACATCGATAGCTCGGCGATATGGTGCTAGGAATTTGGGGGGGGGTTTTGGTTCTAGTTCTTGAAGACAAAACTAAAATGTTTTAATTTTTAACAGCTTATAGCTAATTAAATAAAACATTTAGTTCACACATGATAAAGCTTGAAGGTGTTTAAAGGAAACAAAAAGCATAAAATGATTAGTTGATAAGATCATAGGAGTTATTGTTCCTAAATAAATAATTTGTTATGATTGTTTAACAGATTATTTTACATTGTGTGGATTGATTTCATTAACGATGATCATATTCTTAATGTTTTTCCTTCAGCTTCATGCTGCTGCTCTTATTTCTTTCTGCAGCAGAAACTCATTGAAGCGGTTAGGATGTCTCGGCGTCTGTCATCCCTGGAGATCTTGCTCTCCATCATTTCTTCTCTCCTCATCATCTGTTGCATCTGCCTGATCGTCGTTACTTGGATCAGCCTGAAGCCCAAAGGTGTGTGGTCTAGTTTTGATCACATGACCAGCAGGTTTAACACTGATGATGTCATAACGTGTTCCAGGTGCGGAGGATCCTGCGCAGCTCTCGGGTCAGTTGGTAATCACAGCAGGAGCCCAGTTTTCCGAGGAACTGAGAAACTCCAGCAGTCATGGGTTTAAATCTCTGGCCTTCGACGTTCAGCAGCTGGTGAGAACACAGAGGCTTTTATTGTGAAGGTTCACAGGAATATAGAGGGTGACTTTTATTGTGAAGGTTCACAGGCACATAGACGGGGGCTTTTATTATGTAGGACTTTGTTATAACATCGTTTTTACTGTATAAGTTTCTTCAACTTCATCTCAGATCCTAATCAAATGATGACAGCCTGAGCTCTGACTGCTTGACAGGTATCTGAGGCATTTGGGTTCAGCGACCTGCAGCAGTTCTACAGAACCTGCCAGGTACAACAGTTCAGGTCAGATATCAAATAATTCCCTCTCATTCCAGCACCACTAAATGACCCAGCTGAACCTCTGATCATTAGACCCTTTAAATTTAATAATTTATGATGAAATGATTAATGATTTGTATATTTACTTTTGGTATCAATAATCTGACAGTTGGTTCCCATATATCTTCAGCCCTGGCAGCGTGGTGGTGACCTTTGACCTTTGGTTCAATCAACCTATTGGCACAAAAGAGGTGGAGCAGAATCTGGGGGCGGGTCTTCAGATGGCAGGGGGCGAAACCTTGGTGATTGATATCAACAGCATCCAGATTACAGGTAACATGACTGGAAAATTCCATTTTAATTAGTGTTAATAACGTAAACAGACAGATCAGAGATAAAAATGTGAGAGTGAAAGGGATGTATACATTGAGTGGATGCTGTAAGCAGTGTTGCTTTTGGAACCAATCTTAGATTTATTCTTAGCTTTCGTTTTCAGGACAAAAACTATTATTTGTCATGATCGGGTAGGTTTTACTAGCCCAGATGCAGAACTCACAGACACACAGGCAGGATAAAAGTCAAATAATTTATTGGATAAACACAGGTTTCTGCCTGGAAGGCAGAGAGGACAAGCAGGTTAGGTTCAGGTTTAGGCTCAGATAAAAACAGGTTCAGGTTTACAGGTTCAGGTTCAGACAGGCAGGATGGCTCAGGCTTGTTAACCGTAGCTAAGTCAGTTCAGTTCAATAATCCGGCTCAGAGTGGAGCTCTCCTCCAGCTTAAGTGGGGAGAGCTTAATGAGCAGATGGGGATCAGCTGCTTCAAATGAGCACCAGCTCTCAGGAGAGGATCCACGGCGCCCTCTGGAGGGCAGACCTCTGGATCCCAACATTATTAGTTTTAGTCATGTTTCATTCATTACGATATGTGATTGTTGTGCTCAAGAAAGGTTTTAGTCAGTTATATGTTACACTTCAAAAAACACCTAACCTTTACAATTTCGAATAACAACCAGATTCTTTACCAGACTGACAGCTCTTCCTAGATACTACAGTTGCTGGAGATACAATGCTGTTATGCAGTTCATTATTGCTGTTGGGCAGAAAACATTGATTTCTAGAATTAAAATAAACCTTTTTAAAAATCAATGCCCTACTTTATACAATGTCTCACAAAACTTTGAAAATAGCAGATCTAGTTCAACACATCATATTGGTGAAATAGCAGACAGATAAGCTAGCAAAATGTATAATAATAAAGGAATGGTTTTGGAAATATAAGGTTTCCATTCAAAAGCTAATACTTCCCGATCTACTACGAATTATGCATTACACACAGATGAATCAATCTTCATTACCCCGAAAAGCAAAATACAAAAACATTCTTCTTTCTACTTTGGCTGTATTTCTAAATATTTGCCCCTTGGTTTCTGCTGCTTAAAAAGCAGATTTAAATTCATAGGGATGATATAAAAAAAAATCACACAGAGAACCTACATAGTAGCTGTCAGGAGGCTCAGGAAGTTGGACCCAGAATTCAGGCGAGACACACAGTGATATACAGGTGCTGGTCATAAAATTAGAATATCATGAAAAAGTAGATTGATTTCAGTAATTCCATTTAAAAAGTGAAACTTGTATATTATATTCATACATTACATACAAACTCATATATTTCAGATGTTTATTTTGTTTAATTTTGATGATTACAAATGACAACAAATGAAAATCTCAAATTCATCATATCAGAAAATTAGAATATTGTGAAAAGGTTCAAAATTGATGGCCCCTGGTGCCACACTCTAATCAGCTAATTAACTCAAACCACCTGCAAAAGCCTTTAAATGGTCTTTCAGTCTAGTTCTATAGGCTACACAATCATGGGGAAGACTGCTGACTTGACAGTTGTCCAAAAGACGACCATCGACACCTTGCACAAGGAGGGCAAGACACAAAAGGTCATCGCTAAAGAGGCTGGCTGTTCACAGAGCTCAGTGTCCAAGCACATTAATAGAGAGGCGAAGGGAAGGAAAAGATGTGGTCGAAAAAAGTGTACAAGCAAGAGAGATAACCGCACCCGTGAGAGGATTGTGAAACAAAACCCATTCAAAAATGTGGGGGAGATTCACAAAGAGTGGACTGCAGCTGGAGTGAGTGCTTCAAGAACCACCACACACAGACGTATGAAAGACATGGGTTTCTGCTGTCGCATTCCTTGTGTCAAGCCACTCTTGAACCACAGACAGTGTCAGAAGCGTCTAAAGAGAAACAGGACTGGACTGCTGGTGAGTGGTCCAAAGTCATGTTCTCTGATGAAAGTAAATTTTGCATTTCCTTTGGAAATCAAGGTCCCAGAGTCTGGAGGAAAAGAAGAGAGGCACTTCATCCACGTTGCTTGAAGTCCAGTGTAAAGTTTCCACAGTCAGTGATGGTTTGGGGTGCCATGTCATCTGCTGGTGTTGGTCCATTGTGTTTTCTGAGGTCCAGGGTCAACGCAGCCACATACCAGGAAGTTTTAGAGCACTTCATGCTTCCTGCAGCTGACCAACTTTTTGGAGAGGCAGATTTCATTTTCCAACAGGACTTGGCACCTGCACACAGTGCCAAAGCTACCAGTACCTGGTTGAAGGACCATGGTATCCCTGTTCTTAATTGGCCAGCAAACTCTCCTGACCTTAACCCCATAGAAAATCTATGGGGTATTGTGAAGAAGAAGATGCAATACACCAGACCCAACAATTCAGAAGAGCTAAAAGCCACTATTAGAGCAACCTGGGCTATCATAACACCTGAGCAGTGCCACAGACTGATCGACTCCATGCCACGCCGCATTGCTGCAGTAATACAGGCCAAAGGAGGCCCAACTAAATACTGAGTGCTGTACATGCTCATACTTTTCATGTTCATACTTTTCAGTTGGCCAACATTTCTATAAATCCTTTGTTTTTATTGGTCTTCAGTAATATTCTAATTTTCTGATATGATGAATTTGAGATTTTCATTTGTTGTCATTTGTAATCATCAAAATTAAACAAAATAAACATCTGAAATATATGAGTTTGTATGTAATGTATGAATATAATATACAAGTTTCACTTTTTGAATGGAATTACTGAAATCAATCTACTTTTTCATGATATTCTAATTTTATGACCAGCACCTGTATTAAAGGCATTTACTGAAAGTAGCTTGTGGTTGAGGGAGAAACACATGTAATTGACTATGATAATCTGACAGAAGGTAAATATAAATATGAGTCACTTACCTGGTCAAACAGATCAGTCCATCCTCACGGGTGTTGCAGCATCCAGCCAATGAACTGCCAACGAGATGCGTTGCGAACTCGCCCAGAGTGTCCCAGACACAGCAGCCCCTGTGAAACAGGCAGAAGTCCGAGCCAGGTCAGAGAAACAGTCTAGAACAATGACGGTTCTGAGATTAAGGAGTCTAAAACCCGGTCAGGGGTTCCGATCAGAGCAGGAACAGACAGATCCAAGGTTCCAGGAATCCACAGAGCATTAAAACAGAGTCAGAGTTCCTTGAGTCCAGCAGAAAACTAAGGCAGATATGCTCAGATGGAAACAGGCAGGCACAGCAGTTGAGAGACAGAGACAAGACATGGCACACGGAGAACTGCAGGACTTTAAAATGGCTCCCTCCTCTGAAACAGGAACAAGGTATGCTTCAGTGGATAAGAACATAGAGGGTCATGTCCTGGCTCAGCGGGTAAGAGCCAGGACACAATCAGGACACGACAAGACAACACTAATACCCTACCTGCCCACTGGCCTCCGAGAACCAAGACATGAACTATGAAATTGAAGTCAGATTTAAAAACAAAAAACAAACTCAAACATACATAATGATCTCGAACCATATATAAGCAGCAGGCGCAGGTGGATAAAATGAGTGGTGATTGACAACAGGTGAGTGAAATGGCCGCTCACACTGAGCCTGGTTCTGCTGGAGGTTTCTTCCTGTTAAAAGGGAGTTTTTCCTCTCCACTGTCGCTACAAGCATGCTTAGTGTGGGGGATTGTATTTGAGTCAATGAGTCAATGCAATCAACTGGTTTTCCTTAGATAGAAAACTTTGTATCAATTTGATCTGGTTGAACTGTAAAGTGCCTTGAGATGACATGTGTTGTGAATTTGGCGCTATATAAATAAACTGAATTGAATTGAATTGAAATGAACAGTGAAATGCAAGGTCAGTTATCAGGGCAAATCATGACACAGCTGTCAGTCTGGAGAATGCACAACTCTGCTCTGAAGCATGCTGGGTAAAGAGGGAGGGGCGAGCACAACACCCAGGGACTTTGTCCGTTCTCTGTCTTGTGTTCTTGTGAATTTGAACAGTGCTGAGGCTAAGGCTGACATTTCATAAGCACACGAGAACGCAAAGTATACATACTGACACTGTTTCAACAAGAGATTATCTGGTTCATACCAGTCTGGATTGAACTGCTTTTTTAACACTAAAATGTTAATCCCATTGTCTCCAGGATGGATTAACATGATTAGTGTGAAGGACATTGCTTTTAATGAGCTGCAGTCAGCATCCTTCAGCAATACTAAAAAACCCTCCTTCAGACCAACCAGCAGATGTTTGTTTCTGCAGAGAAACCTGAACAGACGACACCTGTAGCAACTTCAGCCACGCCCACAACAACCATGCCCAAAACAGCCACGCCCACAACAGGTGAGTCCCCAGGAGCATTAAGGACAGACAGACAGATAGAAAGTTCCTAATTAACCAATTTTCTTCCAGTGACTTGTCCACCTGGACAGACGCCTTGTTCTGACGGGTCCATGTGCATTCTGAGTGACTATCTCTGTGATGGAGTCCCTCACTGTTCAGACTCATCTGATGAAGCTACCATTTCCTGTGGTCAGTGAATGTTTCTGATAATCAAAGATCTTAGGTGATGATGAGGCCCAGCGGTAGCGCCGTGGCTCCAGGTACTGACATGTCTTCCTGTGTCTCCTCAGTCACGCCGTGTGATGGACAGTTCCTGCTGGAGGGCCCAAGCGGTTCCTTCAGATCCTCCACTGCTCAGACCTATAACAACAGCATGTTCTGCCGCTGGATAATCAGGTCTCAAAGACCCACTGGATCACAGGTTTTAAATGTCAGGTCTCCTTTTTAGGGACCATTATGTAATTTTGTTCTCTCATGATGTGTTCAGGGTAAGCAGGGGATTTTCAGTTCGGTTTACCTTCAGTCAATTTGAGACTGAAACAAACATCGATACCTTGACTATATATGAAGGAGTTGGACCGAACAAAGTTCTAACAGGTAGGAGACCAGAACATGATAGAACTGACGGTTTATAGCCAGTTATAGCTGGCAAGAGCAAGTTCTAATGAGCCACTCCCCCTTTAATTTGATTGGCAGCTGAGCTCTCCGGCTCCGCCCCTCCTGGTACTGTTTGGCTGCTAACCGACCAATCAACTGTGGAGTTTAAAACTGATGAGTTCAACAGTTTATCGGGATTCAAGGCTTCGTACACAGCAATCGACACTTCAGAATTGTCCGGTAAGACAGGAGAGCAGCCCGACAAACAGAACAAGGCCAAATCTAATGCCAGAATCAAGCCTGTTCTAAAGCGAGACCCAAGCCTGTTCTAAAGGCACAACCAGACTGGCTCTAAAGATAGAATCAGGGAGGTTCTAAAGGCAGAATCAAGCCTGTTCTAAAGGCAGAACCAGACTGGCTCTAAAGGTAGAAGCAGATTGGTTCTAAAGGCATAATCTGACTGGTTCTAAAGGCAGAACCAAGACGATTCTAAAGACAGAACAAGGCTGGTCCTAAAGATAGAACCAAGCCTGTTCTAAAGGCAGAGCCAAGCCTGCTCTAAAGGCAGAACCTAGCCGGTTCTATAAACAGAACCAAGCCTTAAAAACACAGAAGCAAGCCTGTTCTAAAAGCAGAACCAGGCCTCCCTACAAATAGAACCCACATTGTTCTGTGTAACGAACCAAACCTCTAATGGACCTTCTGTCTCTCTCAGACCAGGAGAGGCTCAGCTGCAGCTTTGAGGACGGACTGTGTTTTTGGAGGCAGCAGCAGGATGATGAAGGTGACTGGTTCCGAACCAGTGGTTCCACCTTTCCTCCATCAACGGGCCCCAGTGCTGATCATACCTTTGGGAACAGCTCAGGTAGGTAAGAACAGGTGGTCATCAAAGGAACGATCTCTCCAGAAACTAGTCTTGATCTCTGATAGGTTTCTACATCGTCACTGCTCCAAGTCCTGGCCAATGGCGGAAGAGCTTCAGGATCCAGAGCCCTCCACTGACTCCACCAACACCGCCCATGTGCCTGAGCTTCTGGTAAACAACAAACATGTAAACATGCTTGATTTAAGCTGATCTGCATGTGATGTCATACTTTTTATAAAGTTAAACACATTCTAAGTTCTGTCAGCGAATGTACAGTAGGGAGTATATTTAGAGCAAAGTTCTGTTACCACAGGGCCTGGGTTGGTGGCAACCCAGAGTGAGTACTGGGGTTAGATCAAGCATACCCTGGTTTCTCTGCTTCAGAAGGTTAGGAGGCTGTTTCCATGATTTGAAATCATGAAACAATCGTCATGAAACAGAGTCTGTGAAATGATCCTGTTGTTCAGCATGGATCGAATCCGTTTGGACCAACCAGGGTTCTCCTGCTTCTTAGATTAGATCTGTACAATTAAGAGCTGGATGTTCTTTTCTGGAAGAGCATGTTGAAGATGAAGTGAAAAGCTTCAAAGATTTCTGTTAGGAGATGGAGATCAGACCCTGGTTGGATGCTGTATCTGTTACTGAGGAATACTTCTGCTAAAATGAGCTTAAATAAAGACATCAGACTTTAATGTCTTCAGCAAACATTTCATTAGATTCATAAAGGAGCATTTCCATGTTGCTGCTACCTGGACGTATGTTAGAACCTTAGTAGGAATGGAAGTAAGAAATGCCCCTCAGAGACAATAACATACGTTTATTCTATTCTATTCTATTCTGTTCTATTCTTTTCTTTTCTGTTGAGTTCTATTTTATTAATTCTGTCCTACTCTATTATATACCATTTTATTTTATTCTGTTCTGTTGTATTCCATTAATTATGTTCTATTTAATTCTGTTCTATTCTATGCAATTGTATTCTGTTCTATTCTATTATGTTCTGTTCTATTTTATCAAATCTTTTCTATTTTATTTTGTTCAATTCTATTCTGTTCTATTCTATTGGATTGTGTTCTATTCTAATATTTTCTATTCTATTCTGTTCCATGATGCTCTGTTCTGTTCTATTCAATTTTTCTGAGTAAACTCCTTGGCATGTCTGCAGGTATCATATGTTTGGTGACGATGTCTACCGTCTCAGAGTCCTCCTCATCCCGTCTACCTCTCTGCCAGACTCTGACGTCATTGTGCTTTTCCAGAAAGATGGTAACTTTGGTGACACCTGGAACTACGGTCAGGTGACCCTTAACCTGACCTCTGAGGCCATGGTCAGTGATATTGTCAAGCAAATCCTTACAACAAGCAGTCTCATTGGTGGCCTAGCTGATCATGATACCTGTGCAGGTACAGTTTGAAGCTGTGAAGAACGGAGGCATGTGGAATGATATTGCTCTTGATGACATCACACTCAAGTCTGATATCTGTGGCCCTGCCCCCCCTGAGCCTACCAACGTCCCACCTCCAACCACAATGCCCCCCATACCAGGTGGGTCACAGATCATACAAGTCAGTCAGTGATCTTGCCTCATGAACTAGACACGCCCCTCATATAAGCCACATTTAAGGCCTTGTATGTTGGGTGGGGTCAAGGCCATGCCTGACCCCACCTGAATATTGAGGCCTGTGTGCTCTAGTTGTGTAACCGTTGAAGTGAATACTGTACCTGAGGAGAGACATCTTCTCAAATACTGTCTTAAGCCACTTCCTCTTCTCTGATTGTTCCAGCTGATTGTGGAGGACCTTTTGACCTCTGGGAGCCAAATTCTACCTTCAGCTCTCCAAACTACCCACATTCATATGGAAACATGGCAAAGTGTGAGTACATCTGCCCTGAACTCACCTGTTTACCTGTCACCTGTCATAAACCCCTCACTATCTGCTGCAGGTCTGTGGACTCTGCATGCTCCGGAGGGTCAGAACATTCAGCTCCACTTTCTGGACTTTGATGTGGAGGCAACCTATGACATGGTGGAGGTGCGAGATGGGGCGGGGCCCAATTCGACCATACTGGGTGAGTGGATGTTTCACCTAGAGATGCATGATCACATTTTTTTCCTGATCCAGTTCGATACTGATATATGTGCTGAGCATATAAGCCAATATCCTGGACCTATCTAATTCTACTGTTGAATGAATTAATCGTTTACCTCGTGAGTAAAGGAACCATGCTTCATATAAACATAGTTTTGAAAAAGGACAAATAAAAACAGATATAAATATCTCGAGCTGCTGTGTTGCTCTGAGTGATGATGTTATCAGAGCAGCAATCATAGAACTGAAGTCATTGGATCACTGTGACAGTATATCTGTAGGTGATATCATTTAAAATAGAAATGATTGGATGGGAACATTGCATCGGCATCATTCATCTGATATCTGATCCAGATACTCAATCAATATGGACTCTGAGTTTCAGAACGTTGGATCTCCGGTTTCACCCGTCGTCTCTGACGTTTTCCTTCCAGCTGTTCTCACTGGCAGCACAGGCCCCGCCCACGACCTCTTCTCCACATCTGGTCAGATGACCATCTGGTTCTTTACGGACAGCGGGGGTTATGGTCGAGGATTCAGAGCTAACTTCACTGGAGGGGTGGACCTGGGGTCTCCAGGTGAGATTACCACACCTCAGAGACTCATGATGGTGATGCTTGAAAGGTTCAATTTAGGCAACTGGATGTGAAGTATTCTAGAAAACGTTTTATCTCTCATCCAACAGGCTTCCTCAGTTCTAACTGATGATGGGAACACTGAGATTAATATTCTGTAGGTGTAACAAAAATTCTAGAAAACTTCACATCCAGATGCAATGAACTGAACTTTTCGAGATTGGCCATGAACATGATGACTGAGAATCTTCACAGACATAGTAGGGATGTTTTTTTCTGATGTTTTGGTCTGTTTATCAATAGCTCCATGTGCAGCCGGTCAGTTTCAGTGTCAGATGGGAGCTTGTATCCATGGTAACGCTCACTGTGATGGCGTGGTCAACTGCCCCGACGGTTCTGATGAAGCAGACTGTGGTATGTCACTGACTGGTTACTCATTCCACCGGTTCAATACACCTGGTCTTTTTCTCTGTCTGGATATGTTTTCAGAACAGAGCTTTAACTGTTTCTGCAGCTATTGCTTGACATGCTAAACGTCTAATATGATTACTGTTTATGTAATGAGCCAGATGCGGACCCAAGATTCACCACAACAGGTCAGTGACGATTTTGAAAGTTTATTGAGAAGACAGGTGATAGAGACGCTTACTCTCTGACGTACAGCTTCCATGTGCAGACTGGTATGTCCTGGAGACAGACGCACAGGTTAGAGGCAGCACTGGCAGGTTTGAGCTGAAACTGTCTGATGGACTAACCTGACTTTGCATGGAGTTTGAACTCTGAGGGCCAGCCAGGGACAGGTAGTGTGTCCAGAGAATGATTCAGACATTCAGCAGAAGAGCAGTAGTTATATCCAGCAGGTTTGTCCAGTTTCAGATCCAGGTACGATCTCAGAGTATTTCAGAACGTTGAGGGGTCAGACAAGCTCAGTAACTTACAGGCAGAAACGGGTCTTAAGCACAGGTTATCAATCCAGAATCCAGAGACTGACAGAGCTGGTCTCAGGCAGGCAGACAAATCCAACAAGGGGTCAGTCAGGCTCAAAAATCAGGGGAGATGACAGGATCTATAACTGCCAGGCAGGCAAACAGACAGGTTTTCAGGAATCAGGCTGTAAGGTTCTCACCAGGTTGGCTTGAAACGATCTGGCACTGCAGACTCATCAGGATGGAGCTTATATGCAGGTTGTCATGATGGGTTTCTAAGAGAGTAAGCCCAAGATGCAGAACACACACGGAGACTCGGGTAAAAGTCCAAAGAGTTTATTAAAGGCACAAGCACATAGATAATAAGTGAAAAACAGTTCAGGCAGGGGGCTGGTTCGCTGGGGTCTGAGCAGGGAAAGGGAGATGGCTGGTAGCTGAGCTTCCAGCTCACTGCAGGGAGACAACAGGGGAAATCCACATGGGAACCTCTAGGGGAAACTCCACAGGGAAGTCGACAGGTAGCATCCACGTAGGATTCTTGGGGTGGCTCACCAGGGCAGATTAGCTGGTTAAGTCTCCTAGAGCTTTAGGCTTGAAACTGGTTCCCTGTGGTGCAACTCTCCCAGAGCTGCAGGCCAGAGACAGGTTGCCAGAGAGACAGTTCTTCCAGAGCTTCACAAGGAGACAGGTGGTTAAGCTCATCCAGAGCTTTCACGAGGAGACAGGTGGTTAAGCTCATCCAGAGCTTTCACGAGGAGACAGGTGGTTAAGCTCATCCAGAGCTTTCACGAAGAGACAGGATTCCTGTGAGGCAGAGACAAGGAAGAATTAGAATCTGATCTCACACGAGAGATAACAAAGATTCATCTGTGACAGAGGCTCAGGAAGCTAACCAACTAAGATCAACACTGCGGCGTGGAATCAAGGTCTGAAGGCAGCTTAAATACTGAGGTCTTCTGATAAGAGGATTAGGAACAGGTGTGCAGGAAGGTTCCAGCTCCAGAAGACCCACAGCGCATCCTGCTGGAGACAGAGGGTAATCTCCAGATCCCCACAGTAACTCCAACCCTAAGGGAAAAACAAAGAGAGCAGAAAAGGATCCTCGGCGCCCTCTGGTGGGCAAGCCTGAGGATCCCAACAGAGGTGGTGACAGGTGAAACCAGTAGAGATGATTGCAAAGGGGGTGGAGACTGAACCAGAGTGATAATAAGAGACAGAGGCAGCTCCAGTGCCAGGATCATAACAGTTTATAAATAAGATTAATAACCAGATATCAACAGATACTAAATAGGACATTTTTTCAGATCTTGAACCAGGAGAAACTATTACCAGAGTGGCTCTGGAGGACAGTGAAGGGTTTTCTTCTTAAATACAGAATCTTTTAATTTTCTTATTTTTTTCCCCAAGCTTTTATTGTCATTACATTGTCACAAGTACAGAGCGACGAAATTCACTCTCTGCATTTAACACATCCCCTTGGGGAGCAGTGGGCTACCATTATGTGGCACCTGGGAAGCAGTGTGGGGTTAAGGGTTCTGCTCAGGGACCCAGAGTGGAGGCTGTGGGCTGTGTTGTTTTTAACAGCCATCTTAGATTTAATCTTAGTCTTCGGGACAAAATCTATTATTAATCTTAGTCACATTTTAGTCACTATGATATGTGATACTTTTAGTAAGTTTTAGTCTAGTTTTAGTCAGTTTTATGTTGCCAAAAAAAGTTAACATTTACATTTTCAAATAGCAACCAGATTTTTTTGCAGGCTGACAGCTCTTTCCTAGATACTACATTTGCTGGGTATAGAATGCTGCTGTGCAGTTCATCATTGCTGTTGGGCAATCAAACACTTTTTTTTTATAAATGAATGCCCTACTTTATAAAAAAAAATGTGTCACAAAAGCAAAGAACAAAAACATGAATCTTTCTACTTTGGCAATTTTGGCTTTATTTTTGAGAATTTGCACCTTAGTTACCGCTGCTCAGGAGTCAAAGCAGGTTTAAATGCACAGGGTTTTGATATAAAAAAAAAATACAGAGAGAACCTATATAATTACCTTGTAATGCGATGCCAATCCAGAACTAAACTGAATGAATATGATAACTAGAATGTTGAAATATTTAAAGGAAACAGAGAAAATGTTTTAATAACAATACAAGGAAACATTTACATCATATTTAAATAGATAGAAATGAGAACAATGAGAGAGAAATATTCAAAGATCTATGTTCCTTTTCATCTGTCTTTTTATCCAAAAATAAACTGAATTCAAATAAATATTTTATTTGGATATAACTTAGGGATTCCTTTTGGTAAAAACTGAAGAATGAACCTCTTGTGAGCTGGAATAAATACAGTCTTGATAGTTATACATAGATGTTTTTTTCAATTGGCAGAGGATGATCAGCCACATAGTTTATTAAGTAGCGAGAGCAGGAAGAGCCATACTGCTGAGAGCTAACTATCAGAGTGGAGTGGGAAGCGCAGACTGGGATCTCCGTCTGCAAAAACATTTTTGCACAAGCACAGAGGAAAGATCAGAGCAGAATTTGTCAGCATTGAAAGTGCAGTACCGGACCAATCCGGATTTTTTACTCAGATCCTGCCTCCGCTGCTGCCATGATCCATCTGTGCTCCTGCAACTTGTGCAGAATCCTGCAGGTTGGATCAAACAGGACGCAGCTGCATTGCTTTGCTGATTACAGCAAAATGATGCATTTTAAACATTTGACCGAAGACCCGCTAATTTTTATTTAGTCCTGTCACATTGACTTAAACGATCCATGTTTAGCTCTTCAGTTTTTGTTATCATTATGAAAAAAAGGAGCATCAACAAAATTATTTCGTCATCGTCATCCTTGATGAAAACAACACTGCTGGGTACTTGCAAACCTTCTCAGAGCACAAGTGAACTGCTCTAACCACTAGGTCAACACTCCTCCAACAATATTGGGCTTCGTTTGTGCTCTGTAAGATATCCTAGTATGGTTTGAAGCTGGTTCCAAAGAAGAGGAGCCTGAGAACTGGAATATCTGCCTACCATACTAGTCTTAGAACTACTTTCTAATATCATAGACTGCCTATTGGACTCAATACTTGATGATCTCAGGTGTTCTTCAGGAACAGAAAATTAATCCTTTAACTCCTCTTCACCTGCTTGTTTGTCAGTGATGTTGCAGGTAAATGGCTCCAGTCGTCTCCATTTTCGGGTCGTCTCCTTGCTGTACACCGTATGTTCTGACGGTTGGAGTCCTCATCTGTCTGACTTCATCTGTCAGTACCTAGGACACAGGTAACCCTCAAAGTCACAAGGCTGAGCAGCAGAACCAGAACCCGGTGTGACTTTTGACGCCAACTCTCTGCAGGTCAGGAGAAGTGGCTCTGCTGCCAGCTGGACCTCAGGACTCACCATTTGTATCCCCTGCAGTCACCAGTACTGGAACCATAGAAACAAATGTGAGGTAGGGAAGACCAGAACCAGAACAAGATCCAATAAAAAATTTTTTTTTAAACTAGAAAGGGTTTAAATCATCATCTTCATTTCCATGTATGTTTCAGCTAAATTTATGCATAGAATCAGCCAAATTAGGTCCTTTTCCAATGCTTCTGTTGGGGCTTCATCAATAAACTTTTACAGAGGTGGCAGATTTTAAGGCTACATCTACAGGCTACTAGAGCTTCAACCAGATTTAAAATTTGTAAATAAACAAAATTCAGCATTGTGAAGTACAATACAGAACTAAAACTCATCCCTAAATGTTCTCTTAGACTAAAGGCCTACTCACAGGATAAACATAGAGCTCTTCATAAGCTCTTCATAACGACTAGATTCTGGTAAGATGAATCTGCCATCTGATGATACAACATGTTTCCACAGTGACACCTGCAGGACTGAGGAGGTCATTTCCCTCAATTGCACCAATAAACGTGAGTAAATCTTAGAGTGAAGAAAGGGAGATGTTGGACCTCTATAGTTTTAATCTTCTTATTTGGGTTCTCAGCTTGTGGACTGCGCCTGGTCAGCAACATGACGGGAGATTTGGATCAATCAGAAGTTGGTGAATCAGCAGACGGTCAGAACCTTAACTTTTCTAAGTTTAACCTGTTCAGGACTTTGTTAGTCAAACAGCAGATTGTCTGTGTCAGGTGAGGAAAGAGTGGTAGGTGGAACCAATGCGGAAAAGGGGGCGTGGCCTTGGATGGTGTCTCTACATTGGAAGGGACGCCATGTCTGTGGAGCCTCGCTGATCGGCAGTAGCTGGCTTCTGACAGCTGCGCATTGTGTCTACGGGTCAGAGAAGTATCATGACACTGATTTCAGGTGAACATATGTGGCTATCTGCTATAGTTATCCTCTTCTGTCCCACAGAAAGAACATCCATCTGCAGTACTGGTCAGCTGTCCTTGGTCTTCATGCCCAGTCCTACATGTACTCTGAAGATGTTCAGACCAGATATGTTGATCAGATCATCATCCATAAAGAATACAACAGACTAACCAAGCACGCCGACATCGCCATGATGCATCTGCAGCAGCCAATCAACTTCACCCGTAAGTATCTCCGGAATCTGTCAGGATTTGTGGTGAAGTCTGCATAGAGACATTCATCTAACTTTCCATCTTAATGTTTGTCTTTGTAAATTCTGCAGAGCAATCGATTACATCTAATAAGCACACAAAGCTGTAAAGTCTGTCAGGTTTCAGGAAAACCCAGGAACATTTGATCTGTCTCCTGGATATGTTTACATGGAACCTGCAGAAATTGAACCTTCAGACTTAACCCAGAGTGTTATCTTTCAGAGAGATGATAGCTGATCTTATAACTTCCCTGTGTTGCAGAGTGGGTGCAGCCAGTGTGTTTACCTGCTGAAGGCCAGAGCTTCACTGCAGGAAAGAAGTGTTTCATTGCAGGCTGGGGACGAGACGCAGAAGGAGGTCAGAACAAGAACAAACACCTCACACAATAGAAATCATCAACATCTAAACATCTCGAACACGGGGATATAGGTGGATCTATCATCCATCCATCCATCCATCCATCCATCATTCTGTTCATCCATCATCCATCCTTTCAGGTTCTCCTGCTGATGTTCTCCAGGAGGCTCAGCTTCCTCTGATCAACCAGGATCAGTGCCAGGAGCTCCTGCCTGAGTACAACATCACCTCCAGCATGCTCTGTGCAGGATACCCTGAGGGTGGAGTTGACAGCTGTCAGGTAACACCTCACTTGCTCTCACTAGGATCCTGGAGCCGCTCAATAATAACCAGAATAAAGTAAACCAGTTCAGGAGTGGATCTAACATCTCCTGACTGATGGTTCACCTGAAGCTGGTCAGAGCTGACTGCTGATTGCTCTGTTTGTAGGGAGACTCTGGGGGTCCTCTGATGTGTGTTGAGGATGGCCACTGGACTGTGATTGGTTAGTTTCACTTTCACGCACACACCCTCCTATTATTAAAGCTAGAGTGATGAAAACAAGCTTGTGAACACCTTGCATTTTTAAAAGTTCTCCCATCTAAAAATCGTTGATGGCTCCGACTTTTTCATGTTGGAGCCACCTGACATTAAAATCTGATATTTTCAGGACTACAATGAAAATAAAGGTCAAGCTCCAACATATTTAAACAAAAGGTGTTGGTGGAAGCAGCACAGCAGAAATTTCTCTCCAGTATGGTGTCACAGCCTAACAGATCAATTTAATCCCATCCGAATAAAATGACTGACTAAGCAGGTCTTTTTCAAAGACTCTGGTCCAAAGACCATAACTTCTATTGTGTCTGCATTCAGAAGCAGAAAGCTATGAGTCATCCACGTTTTTATGTCTATAGACATGCCTGTATAGTATGTACTGGAATGGCTTCATCTGGATTTATACACATATATATAGCTGAGTATCATCAGAGTATCATCCCAACAAATTGGGAGCATATATATAAATGAAAGAGAACTAGTCCTAGCACTGATCCCTGTGGTACTCCAAAGGTAATCCTGGAGCATGAATACAATTTATTATTAATGTGAACAAATGGAAATTGGTCAGATAGATATGATTTAAACCAGTCTAGTGATGTTCCTTTAATTCCTACAAAGTATTCAAGCCTTTCTAAAAGAAAAGAATATTATGATCAACTGTTTCAAATGCAGCACTGAGATAAAACAGGACAAGTGCAGATACAAGTCTATTATCTAAGGCAATGAGAATATCATTAGTAACTTTCATCAGAGCTGTTTTAGTGTTTCCTCCATGCAGTAAATGTAGACAATTATGTTTATGGACAGGGAAAGCAATTAACAAAAGATAGGTAACCCTAAACTTCAGATTTTAAACGTCCAAATCAGGAAATCAGTAAAAGTGGAATTGATTTAAAGAGTTCTTTATACAAGAGCAACTGTGCTGCTCATGATGGCCATCAAGTGAACTTAACTATTTTAGAATTCTTTGCATCATGCAGAAAATTATTTGTTTGCAATTAAATATTTAAAAAGAATTCTGGGGAAAACATAAAAAAGAATAATTGTATTTAAATTATCTCCTCTGACTGGTTCCTGGCAGGTGTGACCTCCTTTGGGGTTGGCTGTGCACGCCCTCAGAAACCTGGTGGCTACGCACGAGTCTCAGCCTTCGTCTCTTGGATAGCTCAGACCAGACGTTCCTCCTCTTCCTCTCCATAACTGATCCTGGAACTCTCTATTGATGGATGAAATGTTAACCAGAACAATAAAGTTTGATGTAATCTTCTATATCTGAAAAAATGCAATTTCAATAAACTGTTTTGATCCCCAGATGTGTTCAGTGTTCTGATTTTTGACCGGATCCAAACGCTGCTCAATGTTTGAGGTTAAACCTGACCCAAAGCAGCTGGCTGAAGCTGAGAGGATGAGATGCTCCTTAGAGTGCAGGAATCGGCCAATTCACCATCTGTATGGAGACCCAGTTCAGTCTATTTCTACAGCACCAAGACAGAACCTGTCAACTCATGTAAATACACTTTATATGTGAAGCTCTTTTCACAGAGTCACAGATAGCTGCATAGTGATATAAACCTAAGAGCAAAACATCAGAACATAGTCAAGTATAAAACATAAAAATTATTAAAACGTATGTTGAATTAAAGTAATACTTTAAGTGACCAAATTCAATGAGTTTGGACAACAATGCTTGTCTAAACCAAAAGCCTTTAGGGAGCAGAGGTCTAGAAGAGAACAGTTCAGAAAATGGAGGATTCAAAGTGCTTAACACAAGAAAAATGGAAGAAAAATAAAAGCAGAGTAAAAGAATACTCTCCCCAATTTAAAACAGATCATGGAACCATTAACAGGGTAATCTTCTGTAAACGGAACAACTCACCAGTGGGCCATGGTTTTGCTTTAACTTGGTTGCTCTTCTTTTTTCATCATTTATTGAACTTTTCATCCTATTAATCATAAAGAGCATTTCTACAGATTTAAAAATGACAATATCTAAAAGAGAATCAGAGAAGACAAGAAACATTAAAAATGTGTTCATTATGCCTGAAGTTTAGGTGGATGCTGACCCCTCCATTCATAGGTCAGTTTTGGTAGCCCCTTCTGGTGATTCAGGAACAATGAAGCAACTCTAAGCCTTAAAAAGGTCAGTGACTCTTGCAATACAAGGGGTCCGCAAAGTCCAAAAAATAAGGAGGTCAAGAGTCCGAACTTCTAGGCAGGTAGGGCGGCATGCTCCCCAGAGACATTTTAATTCCATTATTTAAATCATGCCATTTTCAGTCTTAAGGAGCAGAAATTAACATGATTCTGACTTTGAAATAGGCTAGGCAGTGCATATCTTTCTTCCTCTTCTCCCTTGCCAGACATTTCAGACATTATTACCATGGCATGGTAATAATGACATGACATGGTAACCATTGTTTCACTCCAAATCAGCGGCCAAGAACGGCTCCTCTCGACAATTTCACTAAATCTGCCGCTTAAAAGGATACAAACTAGACATCATACCCGCATCTATGATCGCCAATGCATGTTGGAGCTATGGTCACAAAATGTTTTAAATACTGACAGTTTTGACAGTTTAAGAAGCTGTGGAGTGTGTGCTACGGACAGATGTAAACAAAACAACAGCGGAACATAATGGACGCAGAAAGGGATGGGCAAGATGGAGAAAGCGAGGCTGCAGAGGGGCGCTAACTGTGAAGCTAAAGAAAGATCCTCACAGACCGCCGCTTCCATCAATCCTGCTCTCCAACATCCGCTTGTTGGAAAACAAATGATATTTTCTGACTCTAACTCTTCGCAAAAGGAGATATGTAGCTGCTGCCTCATCATTCTGAGAGAGTCTTGGCTGCATCCAGCAATAGCGGAAAATGCTATTAACATGGAGGGGCTCACGCTATACTGCACTCATAAGAACAAAGCACTAAGCGGTAAGACTCAGGGTGCTGGGCTCTGTGTTAACATCAACAACAGCGGGTGCAAGAACGCTAGATCGGTCGCCAGCTTCTGCTCTCCAGACATTGAGTTTCTGACCGTTATCTGCAGACCTTTCTATCTGCCCAGAGAGTTCAGTGTGGTTAGCATCGCTGCTGTTTATGTGCCGCCCAGCTTATTAAAACGGTGGTAGCTGGCCTATTGCTTATTAAATATTGATGAGTATGCCATGACTGTGTCAGCCTACAATAACAAATGAATTAAGGACGTCAGCATCAAAAAGAACATCCCCACCCGGGCCAACCAACCACCCTGGATAAATGGAGAGGTTCGGAAATCGCTAAAAGCACAGAACTCAGCTTTCAGGTGTGGTGATAAAGAGGCACTGAGAACAGTGTGCCAACTTAAACCGTGCCATCAGATCAGCGAAGCAGAACCACAGCCAGAAAATCCAGGATATTTTCCACGATGACAGCAACACCAGAAGGATGTGGAAAGGCATTTGGATGGTTATGGACTACAACACACCCTCCCCCCCGGTAGATGCAGCAAACACTGACTTCCTAAATGAACTGAACAACTTCTTTGGAAGGTTTGAGGCTCTAAACAGCACTCCAGCAGTGAAAGCTGTTCCACACCAGGGGGAGGAGGCACTAAACCTGGATGTAGCTGAAGTGAGGAAAACTCTGAGAAGAGTCAATCCAAGGAAGGCCCCAGGGCCTGATAACATACCTGGGTGGGTGTTCAAGGAGTGTGCAGATCAGCTGGCTGGTGTCCTCACAGACATATTTAACACCTGGCTGGACCGATCCATAGCGCCAGCATGCTTCAAGTCGGCCACCATTATTCCAGTCCCAAAAAAGCCTCAGGTCACCTCACTCTATGATTACCGGCCTGTCGCACTGACTCCAATTCTGATGAAGTGCTTCGAAAGGCTGGTTAAAGAACACATCATCTCCAGTCTGCCGCCAACATTCGACCCGTTCCAGTTCGCCTACCGACGTATGTGCTCCACTGAGGACGCCATCTCCTCTGCTCTTCACCTGAGCCTGGCACACCTGGAGGAGAAGAGCACTCACATGCAGATGCTGTTCCTGGACTTCAGTTCAGCTTTCAACACCATCATCCCACAGCAACTGATGGGCAAACTGAAACAGCTGGGCTTCAATACACCCCTCTGCAATTGGATGCTAGACTTCCTCACCAACAGACCTTAGTAAGTCCGGGTCAGACCGAACACCTCTGATGTCATCAGTCTAAGCACAGGCTCCCCTCAGGGCTGCCTGCTGCTTATCCTGATGACACACGACTGCGTCCCCAGGTTCACCAGCAATCACATCATGAAGTTTGCAGACGACACCACGGTGGTGGGCCTCAGAGATGACAACAACCAGGACTACAGAGAGGAGGGGGAGCAGCTGGTGGACTGGTGCAAAGATAACAGCCTGATCCTGAACGTGGAGAAGATGGAGATCATCTTGGACTTCAGGAAGAACCGGCCTAACCACGCTCCACTGGTCATCATCAGCTCAGCTGTAGAGGTGGTCAACAGCACCAAATTCCTGGGGGTGCACATCACAGACACCCTCACATGGAATGTAAACACCACCTCACTGGTCAAAAGGGTACAGAAGCACATGTACTTCCTGTGGAGGATGAGGAGAGCCCACCTGCCCCCACCCATCCTCACCACCTTCTACAGAAGCACCATAGAGAGCGTTCTGACCAGCTGTCTCACTGTGTGGTGTGGAGGCTGCAGCGCCTCAGACTGGAAGAAGGTGAGAAGAGTAGTAAGAACAGAAGAGAAAATCATTGGGATCCTCTTCCCTCCATTAAAGACATTTCATCCCTGCGCTGTTCTCCCTGCTGCCCTCTGGGGAGAGACTCCGAAGCATCCGATGCAGGTCCAGCAGATTCCACAACAGTTTCTTCCCCACCACCATTAGACTGCTGAATGTTGTGTAAAATTGGTTATCTAATTGTATTTTATGATATTTATTATATTTTATACTTAAAAAAACTGAAATGTTAGAACTCTAAATATACAGCCATATATTTATGTTACTGTTTTTATGTATTTTTTACTGTTTTCAAGGCTGCACATTTCTTTTTGTTTACACTTGTGTATGCAAAATTACAAAATAAATCTGTCTAAGTCATTATAAACTTGATTTTTATGTCATCTTTCTTTTAAAGCATCTATCTACAAGTATTGTTTCACATAAAGTATTTCAGTATAATTGAAATGGGTCGCTTCATATTTACTTCAATATTTGAAATAGACACCCAGGTGCCTATTCACAGTCTGTTCACTCTTGTTATGGGAAGCTTTGAACAATTTTCTATTATAATCTTATACAATTCTTCACTTATCCTGCATTAAAGGAAAAGTCCGGTCCGGGACTCGAGCTCATAAAGAGTTATTCCAAAAAAGGAATAACCAATGGGTCATTATTTACACCTAAAACTTATACATTTGTGGTGATTTAATGAATTTAGCGTTAATCAGTAAAAAAATAAAAACAATATTTTTCGGCGTGATTACCAACTCCGGAACCGGCCATTTTTGCCCAAATATAGTAACACCTCACTCCTGACATCTTCAGCAGTGACGTCACAGTGCGGTAACCCTAGCGCTATTCTCCCTGCTTTATAAGCAAAATCAGTGGGAGCTACTAGACACATCTGCAATTAACAACAATTATTGAAGATTTCCAGAGGACTTCACCATTGAAATTCAAGAGAACTATAGTTAAACTAACAATGCCCATGGATATGGCAGGTGGATGTTGTAATACATTGGGTAAAAGTGAAGAAATTATTTGTTATTTCACCTCTCCAATTCATGATCCTCCACAGACGGGTTTGTCGTTGGATTGCCCACTTGAAGAGGGAGGATTTGCCATCGGACCTCTGGCCTGAAAAAAAACACGTCATTAATCTATTACTGTCTGCTTCACATAGTGCACTGGTCATCGTTGTAAAAAACACTAGATACAGCACTGGGACTTGCTCAACAGCCGATACCGCACCGTGATGTCACAAACTGGTAGGTGGCAGTAGTGTTCTTTGAGAACATGGATGTCTCCAGTAAAGAACATTCAAATGACAAATTACAGTTAATTAAAAACACTTAGCATTTTTTATTTCATAATTTCATACTTAAAGCACTTTTAGAAGTTAGTATTCTGAATGTGACCAGATTTTCCTTTAACCATCTGGCTTTTAAAACATAGGGTTCAGGCACAGTATCTTCCTTTACTAGTTCCTGCTCTCCCTCTTTCTCTCTCCTCACTGCTCCTCTTGCTGCTTCACCCAAAGAAAAGCTCAGTTTGGCTCGGCCTTTTTCTCCCTATTCTGTTTTCCCTTTAGTGGAGAATATCAACACAGTAAAATGCTAAAATGATAGAAATGAAGATAATGTGCATTCAACACATGTTGACATGAAATGAAATTAGTTTCTCAGCATGAGATCAGCCCAATGTCAAAGAATGTTAGAGTAAAATTAGCTGAATATTAAATAAAGATCAAATATGCAAACTTAAACAACTATATATAATAAATAAATATAGTCAACAACATTAGATAAAAATGGGACGTTCTGAGCCTTTTAGAAGGATCATGGTGACTCTTGAAGGCAAGTTACCACAGGAAAGTATTATTGTTTTGAAAATGAACTGGATGTTTTATTTTGTTTCTGTGCATGACTTCCTGTCCCACACGATCTGCTCTGTGACTTCTCGCTGCATTGTGCTCCGTCATCCAGCAGAAATATAAAACAGTTTAACATTCAACACCGAGAAACCTCCACTGAATAAAGGTTTGATTTTCAGCCAAAGACATTGCTAACATTTTAACTGCATAATGAATGGAAATGAATCTGATGGAAATGATGGACGACCATTAATGACAGAGTTAAACAAACTTTGGCTCATTGTTTCCTTGCTGTCTGAGTCGCTCGCTGGGCAGAAATCGAAATATTTCCTCATGAAAACACATGTTTTTCTCACAGTCATCTACAATAGGGTACAGTGGCAAGATTTATTAAATCCAACCCGTGGACATTTCCAGTTCAATGATAAATGGAAACACATCAGAGCAAGATTAGAATTAGGAAAATTGGACAGTATTGGTTTCATTTAATTCTAGATATTCATTAATATTTAAAAAACAAAAAGTGTAAAAGCCATGAATTCCTCTCCACATCGTTAGTATTTCCTGCGATTAATAAAATGAATCTATTGATGGTGTTATTAAAGGAAAAGTTTGCTTTACTCTTCTAACTAAATTCTTCAGGGTTCCTATTTTCCTCCTCTAACACTCAGTCTTCTTTCTATCAGGGTTCCTATCTTCTTTTTCCTCTCTCCTCTTCTATAAATCTAACACTCTTCTAAAACTGAAACATACTATAATCACAATCCCTTCTAAAAACACTAGAATATATGAAATTAAATTTTACAATTCAATAGTTAATACAAGTTTTGTTTCACCACAGTTAGTTAGCTTATTCCCTATGATGGTGGATTCAGTCATTATTAATAAAAGTATCAATTCTGTGTGAATGTAAAACAGTCTCAGTACAATCAGACATTTTTTAGACATGGAATTTACAACACTGAATTTTTAACCTGTGCAATTATGTATTTGTTTAATTTACTTTAAATTAATCAGCATGTATTTAAATATTCACCCAGATTATTACAGAAATCTGCTGCAAAAATTCACCAGCCAAAATTCAGATGGTCAAATATGTTGACCTTTTGATGACTCGAGCCAAAGCAGATAGAGTCAAGCGTGCTCTAGCTCTACCCAACATCTTGGTGTTCCCAAATTACAACAAATTATTTCAATCTTCCCATTCCTCCAAAATCCAAGGAAGTCCACTTTAAAATCTTTACAGGTGTTTACTCCTCTAGGGAATTTCTTAGACTTCGATTTGCTATTGATGATAACACTTGTTTATTTTGTGACGGTGATATTGAATCGACTGACATCTTTTCTATGAATATGTGCATTGCAAAGCTTTGTGGGATGATGTGCACTACCGGTTTTCAACCCAAATTCCAAACTTAGTTGAATTCTCTGAGAAAGACATTATTTTTGGGACTCTGAGAAAATAAAATAAATTTAAAAGATTACTAAATGTTGATGATCATCATGGGCAAGTTTTTCATTCATATTTGGGTCCGGTGTATCCTTTCTATCCTTGGATATCCCAGGATTCATTGCGAGACCAAGCAGGCCGGCTGCTCCGTGATCAGAGGAAATGGTGCTTGGTGCCGAACAGTGGTGAATATTGGAAGTTCAGTTAATCCAAGGCTGTGAATAGTTCTGCCTGAAATGAATGAAAATCTTTCTTTTAATGGGTATTGAGTCAGATAAGTTGTGGTAATGTTTAATTTATCTAAAGGTTTTATCTGTTACTGTGTAAATTGGTTTGGCTGTAATTTAAGGACAAATTCTAATATATCTGCAGTGTGGGGACTATAAATCTGATAGGATTTCTATTTTTTTTTTTATTGCTGTTTTGCACAATTTGCTTAACTAAGTATTTCCGTTGTTGAATATCAGATTTTGCAGATATATATTTTATACATACATTGTTTAGATGTACTTATATCTTTCTACCCCTTTTATAGAATAGAATAGAATAGAAAATCCCTTTATTGTCCCACAATGGGCAAATTTAAAGCAGCAGAAAGATTATTGAAAATGGTCACACAAATGTGGACCTTAGAAAAATGTATATTAACATAATAGGGAAGAGTTAAAATATGAACAATAAAATACTGTAAAGTATTTTAACAATATAAAACTGTCCACCTGGAGAATAAATAACCAATATACAGCTATGGACATTTTTACAGTAATGGATATTTGAAAATAGCAGCAACATCAGAGATGTGCAAAATGACAGCAGCATTTTATTTAACTGACTAAGGTTTATATAATTTAATTTCCTTTTATTTGTTCCTGGTTGGCACCTTTATTCCCCTCTGGATTGTCATGAGTGTAGCCTTTGTTCACTTTAAAATAAAAAAAGAAGTTTGGTATTCATTCTTTTCCTGCTTTGTGTGTAAACTGTCACAGTTCCTAAGCGACAGAGCATACGGTGGTAAAAGCGGCCAAAGGGTAGACCTGTTTGAATTCACTGCCAAACCTCCTCCGGTCTCTTTATTTTCACGGACTTCAAATGATCCAGTAGCAGAGGCGTAGCCAGAACATGTTTATAAGGGTGGTCAGGCAATAAGCAATGTACACTGAGGGGTGGCTGAAAGCGGATAGGCGCCAGAACCTCTGGGTCGATCTACATTGTTCCAACAGGAAAATTAATGAGCACAACGTCCATATTTTCTAAATAAAGACAAAATATCCTTTCCTTCAGCCTTTACTAAAAAAAAGATGCATATATTTAAGTATTTACCTATACATAAAATGTATACTGGATACAATTCTTTCAGGTTTGAGTTCTGGGTCGAACATCTTTTCCATTGTCATTTGTTACTTTTATCAATAATCATTCTGCAAAAAAAAAACATATTTACAAGTACTAATATCTACATAAATTGATTATTTTAATACCTTTTTATTAAAATAGCTAACTATGATTTCACTGAATACTCCTATATGACTTGCAAAGAGAAATCATTTTCTCTTTACCCCATATAACACAAAATGTAGATCTGAAAAAGCATTAATTCTTTACTTATCATCTTGTCAAAACATGTCAAATAAATGTTTATATAAAAATTTTAATGTTTTGAATATTCCACTTGAGGGTGGGTGGCAAATGATGGGTGGCCACCCCCTGGCCCCCCATCTAGCTCCGCCCCTGTCCAGGTAGACCGGGTTCTTGGAAGACACCGCTAAGAATTCGAACACAGCCTTATTCAACGGCTTCACCACGATCATGTGACCGGGTGAACCGCACATGAAGGGGTAAAAGGAAAGGAAAAGGCAGACAAATTAGCAAAAATGGCTTTAGAGGAAAGGGGAAAGGAAAAGGGGAAGGAAAATCATTTATTAAGAGCAAAGAAATTGAAAAATGGCAAAAAAGGTGGAATGAAGATAAAAAAGGAAGAAGATTATATTAAGTACAAAAGTCAGTATTAAATAGAAATATTAATGAGAGAAACCGAAGGGAAGAAATAATAATGATCAGATTAAGAGTAGGTCATACTTATTTAAATGACAATTTATATTTAATAGGGAGGAAAAATAATGATAAATGTGAAGGATGTGGAGAGATAGAAAATGTAAAACACAATTTTTCATCAATTCTACAAAGCATATGAACCTGAAAGGAAGAAATTGAGAAGAATAGTTGAAAGGACAGGCCAAGAATAGAGTCTTAAAGGATTATTTGGAACTAAAGGAAATATAAAGGATATTTATAGATTAAGGAAAGCATTATTTATTTATCTTCAGAATACAAAATTAAAAAATAGAATTTAATAGATGTAAAACAATGTTGCTACACACTCATGAACAGTAGGTGGCGGTATGCGCCTTAAAGTTGCTTGCGATCCACCATGATAGAAAAGAAGAAGAAAAAGACCGGGTGAACCGGAAATGCTTCTGAGCGACACTTCCGGCTCAGTTAGTAGGAGCTGAGTAACTGCGGCGGTGTTTCCTGCTGTGAGGTGAGATATTCTGACTGTGACATCGCTGAAATCTTGATGCTTTTATCAGCTCTCTGGTTTCCATCAATCGTTATTATCGTGGCTGTCATTCCGGATACTTGAACATGTAGATTTTCTTCTACAGTTGTTTCACGGCTACTTGCGCAACTTGTCCAGGGTGCTCAGATTTAGGTTTCACTGAAACCATAACGATTTTAGGAAAACTGATCTTTAAGTGGGATTTACAGTCTTAAAAAACAGGTGTGACCAGTGATCTGAAGCAGCCATAGTGCAGTCAGTCCCTGCACATTCATCCAAAATCAACGTTTGTGTTCACATTATGTATATGTGTGATCATTTTGTATATGTAACATACTTTTGTATTTATTTAAGAAGAATTAGTTATTTGAATTTAAAATCTTTACATTTATATACAGTATACACTAAGTATATGTACTGCATATACTTTTTTAATGAATTTATTCATTCATTAAAAACGATCATACACTCAGATATGAAAACACAAACTTTTGATTTGGGCGCGATTAATTGTTTGACAGCCCTAATTTATATCTATAAAATGTTGCTATGCTGTAGACTGAGTTTTAGTTGGGCAAATATTGATTTAACATACACACCTTGTGTGTGTTCATTCATCTGTCTGTTTTATTTATTGTTGTTTTCGTACAAAAATCAAGTTATAATTATTCACAATATTAAGTATCCTATTTGAAAATGTTTAAAACATAAAATAAAGATAGTTGGAGTTATTTAAAAAGTGCATGCACAATTAAAATACAATGATACGATTAGATGAGCTGTCTGTACCAAGATGGCCGCCAGGTGCTGCCCTCTGTGGTTGGCTGTGGGCTGACAGAATAAAATCAGCTGCTTTAATGAGTTAACCTGCTGGTGTCAGTGACTGTAACTCAGGACGCCACACCCCGCTGATGTCACGGCGTGGGACTTCAGCTACAGTTAGCTGCTAGCATGTAGCTTGTATCTGTCAGGCAGAAAACTGTGGACAATGTGACCAGCAGCCTCTCAGCTGTTCAGACCTCAGCCAATCAGAGGAGAGCTACAGGGAAACAGGAAACTAGTCAGAACCAGCAGCTGATTAGATGATCTGTCCAGTCTATTTCTGCTTGGATGTTTATCTAAACCGCCCAGATGCTTCATAGTCTGATATCGGTCTGTTTTCAGCCTGAAGATGAGCCGCAGAGGAGCAGCTGAGAGGGAGGACGACGAGGAGGACTTCTACGACTGCGAGGAGAGCCTGGAGGCTCCGAACACCACAGATAAAGAGGAGCAGGGGAAGAAGAGCCAGAAGGACCCTTCATGTTTAGAGGAGACCGACCCAACAGACCCAGAGGAAAAAACAGACAGAGAAGACACAGAGAGACAGCATGAAGAGGAGGAAGAAGATTTCCAGGACGATTCAGACTCTGAGCTGAAAGAACAGGAGCTGTCTAGAGAGGGGGAGTTTGATGACGAACTGAGGGAGGCGGAGAAGGAGCTGACAGAGGAGGAGAAGGAGGTGATGCCTTTTATTCCTCTCTATGCCACTTTACCCCATTTTTTCACAGTTTAAACCAGCCTACACCAGTATATGCCAGACTACACCTGTATAGACGGGTCTGCCGCCGCTATAGACGGGTCTGCCGCCGCTATAGACGGGTCTGCCGCCGCTATAGACGGGTCTGCCGCCGCTATAGACGGGTCTGCCGCCAGTAGAGATGGGTCTGCCACCTTTGTAGACGGGTCTGCCACCAGTAGGGACAGATCTGCCGCTGCTACAGACCAGTAAACAGAGAGGTATACACTAAATTTTTACCAAAGCATTCCAAAAGTAGTGTCTCTGAACACAGAACCAGTGATTTAAATGAGCAGAGATGCTCAAAGGACCTTCAGGGACCAATGAGGTTCTGGGGATGTTGAGGTTCTCTTCACGTTTTCCAGCCATGAGAGGATTAATCTGAAGGACATGTGGACTGGTTCCACTGGAGCTGATCTGTGGTTATTGTGGAGCTTTATTGTTCTGTGACATCAGCATAGATCTAGCTAGAGTAGAACTCTCATCTGTTACAGTGGGATCATGTGGAACAGAAGAGGCTCCAGAACAGAGCCTGGAGGAACGCCCCAGGTGAAATGTGTTTGCTGCGAATAAGGGAAACTATTTTCCATTATCTGGAGCCCTTGTCTCTTTCTCAGCTGTGATTAGGTCCTGTTGTCACGTCTTGGTGTGTCCAGGCCCACTTTAATCAGCATTTCCCCATTTGAACACCTGTACCAGCTGGCCGACACATTCAGGGGACAGGTTCAGTGTAGTAAAACTGAGTTGTTTCTGTTTCAGAGTCGTCGGCAGCAGAGTGTAACACTAAAGGAAACTGGAAACAGCCTCTTTAAAGCTGGAGGTGGGTACCATCCTCTGAAGGATCTTCTACTATCAGAATCACCGCCTGCAGCTTGTTTACAGCCTGGGCTCATCTGAAACATCCAAACACAAAACTTTAGGCTGAGGTAAACCCACGATGAATGGTGGGGAAATGGGCTTCTGCTGATCCAGTCTGTGGAGTCACTAGAAGATCCCACTGGAGCGCAGCAGCGGTGCTGCTACCAGTGCACCAGGTCTATTTTGAGTTGGTCTCAACAGAACCACAGGGAGTTCCAGGTTTTCAGATCCAAAGTTGGACTGAAAACTGAACCAACTCTGTTCAGATCTCTGTCAAAGGTTTCCTTATGCTAACATGGTATTGATGTGGATTAAAGCCACCAAGGTTTGCAGCTCTCTTCCAGTTTCCTGGAGTTTATTCCAGGTTAATAGAGCAGAAAAACTAAAAGCTGCTTGTGGTTCTGGTTCGGATCCAGTTGAGCTGCGAGGCTGATGTTCTCCACTTTCTTAATTCTAGTGAGGATGCAGACAGCTGCATTCTGGATCAGCTGCAGCTGTTTGATCCACTTTTTGGATCAATTTGGGATCAAAGATGAATGAAGCAGGAATTAGTTGTTCAAGCTCCTGCTAAGACATCAGTCATTTAATCCTGGAGATGTTCTTTAACTGATAGAAGGAACTTTGTTCCTGTCTTTATGAGCCTCTGAAGGATCAGGTCTGAGTCCATCACTATCCCTAGATTATTGGTTTCTTGGATTAGCTGAAGCTGGATGCTAACTTTGAAAAACTCTTCCTTTGGTCCAAAAACTATGACTACAGATTAGTCTAACCTCTGTGTACGTTACCGTAGTAACCGTTTCACCTCAGTTTATCACAGACATCCAGACCTTACCCATCCTCACATTAGCAGCAGTACAGACTTCTTTAACATGGATCTAATAGAACTGGATGTCAGTGAGAGAACATTGTGTAGTAACAGCATCATGAAAAACAACTTCCCAGTCAGACAGCCACTTAGTATTTTTTAAAGCAGGATCAACATGAGGAGGAACCCCATGAGATAATGAACAGGTCCTCATTTTGTGTTTTTACTTTCTGAAATTCAGTTTCTGCTGCAAAAACGTAATTTAGAAAATCTGTGTTTGTGTCCCTGCAGAGTGGAAGGAGGCGGAGCGAAGTTACACGGAGGCTCTGGCGTTGTGTCCTTTGTGTTTTAGCAGAGAGCGAGCCGTGCTGTTCTCCAACAGAGCTGCTGCCAGACTTCATCTGGTAGGTATATGAAGTTGAAAATATTTCTGTTGTCATTTGTCTACAAAAGTATGTTCTAAGTTCATGTGAGGCGAGAGCATTACACACTACATAACAGACTTCAGCTATATATGTGTATGTGTGTGTATATATATATATATATATATTTGTGTGTGTGCAGATGTAGCAGGCTAACAGCTTGTGGTCTTTGCAGGAGCTGAAGGATGAAGCCATCACAGATTGCACCAGAGGTGAGTCATTAAATTTTTTTTTTGCTTTACAATTAAAGAACTGGACGATTGTTCTGGTTGAACATCCACCAATCACAGCTAGTGAGGAAGATAATCTGGACAGTAAATCTGTTTGGGAAGAGCCGTCCGGCAGACCATACTCTTCCTGGTATCTTGGACCACTGGATAGGAAGGAGAATCTGTTGTAGAACAGACTGGCCTTCAGGCTCAGTTCTGAACCTTGTTTTTCTAGAAGCTGAAGTCTGAGGAACCCTCTGGTGCCGTCTGGATTCTCTGGTTTGACCTAAATGGTCAAAGCTCTGTTCTCGGTCCATAATATGGATATTTAGGGCCACCAGAGAGGGTCTCCTCTGTATTTTTAAGTCTGGCTTTGAGGAAAAACTTTTGAGGGCGGCCGAAGTGTGTTGAACCACAAGAGCTGCTCACTTGATATGTTCTTCTATCGTTTCCATAGCGATAGAGCTGGATCCAGAATACCTGCGGGCGCTGCTAAGGAGGGCAGAGCTCTATGAGAAAACTGAGAAGCTGGATGAAGCTCTGGAGGACTACAAGCAAGTTCTGGAGCGAGATCCAAGCAACAGCGTCGCCAGACAGGCCTGCATGGTGAGTTCACTGACTGCTGGGACCACCCAACACCGAGGTTCTCACTGGGTGTGTGTTGATCAAGGTGACTCCCAAGATGTCCGCAGGTCACCCCCACACACTGTTAAAACTAGATTTCTCTTGACCAGCGCTGTCCCACTACCGGTCTGTTTCCATCAGAACCTACTTGGCTTGTTCCAAACTGAGCTGTGCTTAAAACGACATCAGGGGACTGCTGGTCACTGATTGGCCCAGCAGTGGCAAAATGGATGTCTGCGCCCCGATTTTGACGCTGCATCCTGTGAGGGTCAAAAATATTAAGAAACCTGAATATTTAAAAGTTAGATTCAGGCTTTCTGGCCTGAATCTCACCCTTCATACCTTTGTGTGAACAATTAAGTGCTGGTTATCCTCCCACAGCAGTGTGTCGCAGTGAGCTTGTTGCAGATATTTTTGATTTATGCCCAATATTGAAGCGTGGTCTGCGCTGTTATTCCACGCCACAACGCAAGAGGGACAATCAGGAATTAGCTATGGGTCTAGATACGGCCGAGGCGGGGAGGAAGTGGGGCAAGTTTGTGTGACAACAGAGGATCCAGGTGGAAAAAGGGTCCCAGCGTTCTCGTGCACCTCGCTCTTCTAGTTGGTCCATCTTTATGAGTCGTTTTCCACAATGGCAGTCATACAGACGAAACAAGCCGGTAAGGTACCAAACAGGAAATACGCATAGTGTAGAGCGGATGTAGATTTGACCAATTAGAGGCGTCCTGTCTGCGGTCACCTACAATTCTGGAGAGGTGCAGCAGTGTCTGCGGAAGGGGCGGAGACATATTTGCACTGCGACACACACTAAGATGACCTGAGTATAAATCAGCCTTTACTGGTGTGCAGAATGATCATGCAACTAAATTTAAACTGGAATGTTCCACGTCAGTGTAGTCAGTTCATCTAGATTACCATCCTGCCTTCAATTATTATTACTATCTGAGCCGCTCAGATCCCTGTACGCCGGCGATGCGCTGTCACTAGAAATCCAGTTCAACAGCAGCCTATGGCCCAGTCGCCTCGGCGGCTGGAAGCCATTTTTCATGTACATAATCCAAACTGCAGGCACCAGGATTATATTGCTCTGCATCATCAGCGTCTCCCTGCCAGCTCCCAGATCAGCGTCACGCTGCTCCTGCTGCTCTACACGCGCTGTATGCAGCATGCGCGTTCATGCGTTTTTGAAGGCGTGGTTTCGAGGGGTGGTCTGAAGACAGAGGCATGGTGGTGTATGTTCAAAGAATAGCTTGCTGGAACCGTTCCCCAAGATCTCCTAGACAACCTTTAAGTGCACAAACCTGCACTAAAAGAGCAAGTTTCAGTCTATTTGCTGACTTTTTTTTTCACGTCAGTTGGGTGTCAGCTTCATGCAGCTGAAGCTCCTTCTATTTCATGATGCAGCGTAGGGTGTAAACTAGTGATATGCGATGAGCCGAGGCTTCGAGGCGTGTGTCGAGTAATGGAGGGGACATTTTCCCGAAGCGCGTGTCGAGGCGTGATTCATTTAGAGGTGGGGCCAAAATGATGATGTCCGAGGCGTCGCTACTGTGATACCACGTGACCACTTTAGGAAGCGCAAGAATTTTGACAGGCATCTAAACAGCCTCAGTGTTCAGTCAAGATGTGGGAGTTTGGAAGAGATGCTCTCAGCTGGATAAAGTTTGGATAGATTCTAAGAATAGATTGGTTGGAAAAACAACCAATCTAGTTGCTTAAAACTAATTTGGTTAGAATAAACAATGTAATGATCACAATTTGAGCAAACCACCAGACACAGTCAGTGTTAACACGTTGCTCTTGACTAGTATTTTCCTCCCCGCTATGGTTATCTATATAGGTGGTGTCATCTGCAAGAGACAGGCTCTAACTCTAGAAGTTGATGGTTCAAGATCTGTCTTTGACTTTTGAAAGTTGCAATTAAAGTTAATTATTTTGGCTGATGAGACTAATTTGCATTGTTTTGCTCGAGCAAAAATATAGATTGGGTAAATTAGGTCGGTTTAACACAACTTCCAACCTGATTAAAACCAAAAAAACGTGGAAAAACTATCATGTTTGAATAAAAATGACTAACACCTTTCATTTTGCTCAAAGTAATTTCCCTCTGGGATTATTAAAATATTTCTGATTCTGATTGCCCAGTTTGCCCAATTTGCACAAACACTTTCACTGTCTGCTTGAGTTTTTCACTAAAATGGCAGAAAAACTGTGAACCTTAAATTATTGTTCTAAGAAATTTTACACTAAAAAAAATTACAAAGATTTTATACACACCAATCATTAACAATTTCAAGAGAACTTGAAAGGGGAAAAAAAAAAGTTGCAAAAAACAGATTTTATTACAAACTGTAGTTCTGCTCTCCACCAGTAGGTGGTGACATGTTCACATGAACAGTTCAATGCCTCATGAGGCTTCATCTCACCATCACTACACTGTACACAATGCACATCTGAAATGCAGAGTAATGAACTACCTGCAGGGCTCAGGGAAATCACTGCTTTCACTACATGTTGTGTGATCGCACCATTAGAACTGCTTTTATGATCCAAAGCACTGGTTCTGCTTTAAAGGATAATTCCGGTTTTTAACACTTTTAGCCCATTTTCTGTAGTGTCCAGGATGAAATCGAATGATCGACACCAAAATTGTGACGATTGGTCCTGTCTCTGCTTTTTGGCTCATTTAGAATCCACCCCTGGCTGCTTCAGAATGGCTTCCATAGTGCATGTCCGATAATGTCCTTAAAACAACCTTAAACGTTCTTTTTTTTAAATATGCTACTCACTCTCCGACGTCGAGGTGCTAATGTCTCTGTTAAACACTTTAAAAAACTCTGAAAATGGAATACGAAAGGTGGATTCTTGATTCTCGACGTCGGAGTACACCGAGTGAAGCGAAAACACTACAACTGTGTAAACAGGCCCCATTTCCGGTGGCAGGGGAATATTGACTATTCCAACAGAACTCAATGGGATTTACAAAATGCTAAATAAAACACTAGAGGAACGTTTTTTCTTTACGAAACTTTTTTTGGAACGTCATTGAACAGCGCTGATGACCCGGTGAGTAGCATATTTTAAAAAAAGAACGTTTAAGGTTGTTTTAATGACATTATCGGACATGCACTATGGAAGCCATTCTGAAGCAGCCAGGGGTGGATTCTAAATGAGCCAAAAAGCAGACACAGGAGCAATTTTGGTGTCGATCATTCGATTTCATCCTGGACACTACAGAAAATGGGCTAAAAGTGTTAAAAACCGAACTTCTCTTTTAATGTTGTCTCTGACTTTTTTTGTCTGTCTCTCCCTCAGAGGCTGCCTCCGCAGATTCAGGAGCGAAATGAGAAGCTGAAGGAGGAGATGATAGGTAGGTAATTCCCCTGAACGCATCGTGTCTCCCTGTTTTTGGTCCCTGAACATCTCACCTGTCTTCTGAGCAGATAAACTGAAGGACCTGGGGAACCTGGTTCTGAGGCCATTTGGACTCTCCACCAACAACTTCCAGGTCAACCAGGACCCGACCAGCGGATCCTACTCTATCAACTTTGTTCAGAACCCCAACAACAACAACCACACTGGATGATATGATGTCAATACCCCAGACTGAGGATGAGTGACCCACTGGACTTCAGACCAATCAGGAGCCTGCTTACTGATGACATCATCTGCTGTATGAGCCGAGAATAAAGAGACAGGAAATGACCTAATCATGTTTGTGTGACATCAGACAGGAAACAGGGTGGGGTTTAATGTGTTTATTGTGAGCAGGAAATGGAGGTGATTGGTCAGTGCGCCCTCCTGGACAGCAGCATCTCTCTGATGTTGTCCTCAGCCTCCTTCACGCTGCGCTCCAGGTACACCTTCTTCTGCTGTAACACATGCAGGGTCAAAGGTCAACCACAGCCTGGACGGATGAAGGCTTCCAGAACCCCTGACCCGTCCAAAACAATAAGAACATTTCAGCTTTTAGCTCACTGAGAACAAAGTTTTTGTTTTTGTACTGTTGGTTAAGCTACAAGTGATGATGTCACAGCGTTGAATGGCTTTGATTGGCTACCTGGAGCCTCGGCTGTAGAATAAAGACTGGTTCTGGATTTTATCGTGATGTCAGAAAAATGTATGTTTTACTGATCAGCACCAGAACTCTGGACCGGTCGACTTAACATCTGGTCCTGGAACCCAGATCCAGCAGATGGGTCAGAACCCTCTCACTCCAGAGAGGGGAACAGAGGCATTCAGGGTTCTAACAGGATGAGATGTGAAGCAGGTTCAGGGTCTGCAGGAAATCTCAGCTCTTTACCTCCAGCTCTTTGATCTTATCGTCAACCGTCTTCTGTTTGTCCGTCAGCAGGTCATTGATCTCCTCCTTCGACTGCAGGATGAACCTGAAACAGAACACACCTTAGCGATCCGACCTGCCCTGACAACCCCTTAGCGACCTGACCTCACCCCTCTGGTGGGATGACTTACATTCGGCCGACGCCCTCGTAGAGTCTCGTGTTACTGGGCAAGGAGGAGATCTCTGCCTGCGTAAGCTTGGTGTGTTTCTGGACTCTGCCCAGCTGATCGATCTGCAGGTCGGCTACCTTCACCTTCTGCTGCGTGTCCATCATCTTCACCTGCAGCTCTGAGAAGGCCTGCGGAGACAGGAGACATCACTCTGATCAGAAAGGAGATGTTTTCTTCTAACTTAGGAGCCATCAGCACTTTGGCCCTTGGTCACCGCCAGGGACCACATGAGGGGCCCAGCCAGGCTCTACAAGATGGCGCTGTCCAACAGTGTACATCTTAAAAATCTGATTTTAAATCTGCTTAGAAAATGACAAAAGCTAGAATATAAAGTGTTGATTCTATGAGGCTGGTCTGAAGACATCAGCAGCAATAAAAAGCTGGATGAGAGCAGCTGATCCACGGACAGGAGTTCTGCTGGTTCTGACAGAGTACAGCCAGTGGGAAGAGGCCACTGGATGGTTCACTGACCAATATGTTAGCTATTGAAGCTAGGAGTGCTTCAATCAATGTGCCCAGGTTTTCTCTGGTGTGGGCCGACCCGACCTGGAGGCATCAACGTTCAGGGTCGGCAGCACAGATCCACTTGAATTCAAACGGTACAGTTCTAAGAACTGGACTAGGATGGGCCGCTGGGAACTAGCGGCTCACTGCCCCACACACATGCAGGGAGTGACAACATCACAGATGCAAGTTTGTAGGTGCTGAGTTTTGCTGGACTGACATGCCCTGACCTGTTCCACATCAGTGTTGTCACACAGCTGATCTGTTCATGAACATGATCTGTAGGGCGGCTGGCTAAGTTAAAAAAGAAGAGCGGAGATCAGAAAAAAACAAAACAATAGTGGCATTTATTGAAAACTTAACCTCCACATGATAAATGCCTGGTCTCTGTTAGCGTTTGTCACTGCCACTACAAGCAGCATCAAGTAACTCTGCATTAGCCATGAAGACGGAATAAATATAAAGTATTTGTAGTAAATTGGGCTGAAAAGATGATAGCTAATCCACTACTATCAGCAGATCTGACCTGTTTGGTGGCCTCCCACAGTTCTTCTATCTCCACAGACTTGACACTGGTTAGCAGCTAGTATGTTCCTACATTTTATTTATATGGCTTTTTTTCATATTAATCATTCCTTTCATAGACTGCAGCTGAGCCAATAGGAAGCCAGAGGGACCAAAACAGAGATTCTGATTGGAGGAAATGCCTGAAAACATTTCCAAGAACAAAAAGCTACAGTTAGATTAATAATCTTTACTCTGTATTATACTAAAACTAGTGAGTCTGATTAAATTGTAAGGCCAATGAAAATAAATATATTGAAGACACTAAAAACTTGTTTCACTTTGTGAAACATTAAATAGATTAATTATTCAGACAAATGATTTCAAGGCTTTTTCTGGTTAACATTAAATAATAATTATATATTGAAGGTTAAAATATTATATTCAGCTCCCCCAAAAAACACATTAAGAGATGTGGCCTTAATGAAAAGTATATCTAATGCTGTTTAAAAGGGTTGCTGTTTAAGTGGAGCACATGTTCTAGTTTATTTAATATAACTGACCATTATTATTAATTTATACTTACTGTTTCAGTATTACAACCTACTGTGCAGGTAAACTACTTCACTTCTATTAAAACACAAGGACCAAACTTATTTATAGGCTGAAGATGATTCTGCTACAGACAGAATCATTTTCACCCTGAACACAAAGCAGGCGACTCTGCAGTCAAAGAAATCTACTGGAAAGGATGTTTAACATGAAAACTTTTTTAAAATGCAGCAGTTTCCTGATTAGCTGCTTGACTGATGCTGAGTCTGACCCTGGAATCAGGGCTAACCCGGCCCACTGGGTCAGTCTGGGTCATGATGGTGACCCGACTCCTCCAGAGGATCTACTCTCTGCAGCATCAAGCTGCACTGACTCGGTTCTGGACCGCAGCAGCTGACGGATCACCAATGGTTCTCCTGAAGAACCCTGCAAGTCACGTTAGCGAACGGATAATCTGGCTACAGAACCGAGTTTCTTTCTCCAGAACATGGTCAGCTTTGATGAAATATTATTGGACCCGCTCTATCAGAACCTGGTTCTTTCATATAAAAGAACCAGTTGGTTGGTTTAACCGGGTCTGATGAGATGCAGTCACACCTCCAGCCTCCGCATGCTAACAGCTAGCAGCGGATAAAAGCTAGCTGCGGCTAACTGCGCGGACAGGGTGTGAGTTCCTGGCCCGTGAGTGAGCGCGCTGGCAGGTATCAAAGAAAGGCCAACGGGCTGAGGTCGAACCTCGAACAGAACTTCGGTACCTTTTTCAGCTCCAGATCCACGGGGGCCGCCATTGTTACCGGAACGCTCTTCTTCTCCTTCTCCTGTGGGCGTTTCTCGGCGCCTCAGAGCCCTCTAGAGGCCAGCTGCTGACGATGACGTTTCAGGTTCCTGATCAGAGCCGATAGAAATTAATAATGGCGCTTCTGATAATGGATTTATTATATTTTTAGACTTCTATTAGGCTTTTGACACTGTAGAACATGGTTTTATATTTCAACGTTTAGAAAAGTTTGGATTTGGACAGCATTTTATAACAATTATAAAAACTCTGTATCAAATTAAGGAATGGCTCATCTCCTAGATTGTCAGAGGAATCGGACAAGGGTGTTCTGTCTCCCCCTCCTTGTTTCTTTTGGTAGCTCAGCTTCTGGCAGATCACATTAAAACCAGCATAGAGAGATACACTATATTGCCAAAAGTATTTGCTCACCCATCCAAATTATTGGAATCAGGTGTTCCAATCACTTCCATGGCCACAGGTGTATAAATTCAAGCACCTAGGCATGCAGACTGTTTTTACAAACATTTGTGAAAGAATGGGTCGCTCTCAGGAGCTCAGTGAATTCCAGCGTGGAACTGTGATAGGATGCCACCTGTGCAACAAATCCAGTCGTGAAATTTCCTCGCTCCTAAATATTCCACAGTCAACTGTCAGCTGTATTATAAGAAAATGGAAGTGTTTGGGAACGACAGCAACTCAGCCACGAAGAGGTAGGCCACGTAAACTGACGGAGCGGGGTCAGCGGATGCTGACGCGCATAGTGCGAAGAGGTCGCCAACTTTCTGCAGAGTCAATCACTACAGACCTCCAAACTTCATGTGGCCTTCAGATTAGCTCAAGAACAGTGCGCAGAGAGCTTCATGGAATGGGTTTCAATGGTCGAGCAGCTGCATCCAAGCCATACATCACCAAGTGCAATGCAAAGCGTCGGATGCGGTGGTGTAAAGCACGCCGCCACTGGACTCTAGAGCAGTGGAGACGCGTTCTCTGGAGTGACGAATCGCGCTTCTCCATCTGGCAATCTGATGGACGGGTCTGGGTTTGGCGGTTGCCAGGAGAACGGTACTTGTCTGACTGCATTGTGCCAAGTGTAAAGTTTGGTGGAGGGGGGATTATGGTGTGAGGTTGTTTTTCAGGAGCTGGGCTTGGCCCCTTAGTTCCAGTGAAAGGAACTCTGAATGCTTCAGCATACCAAGACATTTTGGACAATTCCATGCTCCCAACTTTGTGGGAACAGTTTGGAGCTGGCCCCTTCCTCTTCCAACATGACTGTGCACCAGTGCACAAAGCAAGGTCCATAAAGACATGGATGACAGAGTCTGGTGTGGATGAACTTGACTGGCCTGCACAGAGTCCTGACCTCAACCCGATAGAACACCTTTGGGATGAATTAGAGCGGAGACTGAGAGCCAGGCCTTCTCGTCCAACATCAGTGTGCGACCTCACAAATGCGCTTCTGGAAGAATGGTCAAAAATTCCCATAAACACACTCCTAAACCTTGTGGACAGCCTTCCCAGAAGAGTTGAAGCTGTTCTAGCTGCAAAGGGTGGACCGACGTCATATTGAACCCTATGGATTAGGAACGGGATGTCACTTAAGCTCATATGTGAGTCAAGGCAGGTGAGCAAATACTTTTGGCAATATAGTGTATTTGTGCCTTCGGTTTGAGCGCGCAGAAACCAATCCCAGCGCGCAGTGAGACAACACGCGCGCGCTCAAAACCGCTCTGGCGCGCACTCAACTCTGAAAAGCTCTTCTTAACAAGCTGAGAAGAGCTTGTTGCCTCTCTATAATCAAATTCTATGAAATAATTTAGTTTTCTTTAAAAATCAAATAATTATTTATGTATATTTACTCTGCAAATTCTTCCTCAAAATATCTAATAAATAAATCTTTTCCTTAATACATTCAAATTATCTCCTCATACATCTTCTCTGGCTTTCATATTTATGACATTCCAGTCTAACATGTTCTATTGTTTCATATTTTCCACAGTAATCACATTTGCCAGTAGTAGCCTATGCTTTTGAATTTTGAAGTGTTTAATTAAGTCCTGTAGGCTATGCCCAAATCTTAACCTTGTTATCACTCTCTCCTCCTTTCTATTTCATCTTCCATTTCTTCTTTTTCCTACTATCTCCTAAATTTTATTTAAAAAAAACGCCTTCCTGTTTTTCCTTCATCCGACCTATTTTGCAATTTTTCCATCAGTTTTTCTTTAATAATACTCTTTCCCTGCGATTTACTTCTT